CAAGTAATCTAGAAACCCCATCTAGACATGCACACTACTTTTTCTCCATTTTCCATTTCAGAGCCAAAGCCATCGCTTGCAAAGAAGAACAAAGACTGCAGTATGTCAGGAGACAACAGTGTTTTTCCTCTCACCAACCTAACTAGCTCAGTGCTAAAGTAAAAAGTGTGAAAAAGCAGAGTTGCCAAAGATGGAAGGAAGTAGAGATGTTTCATCTGAGAAACGTAAGGTTACGTTGAAGGGGGAAGTTATTTTAAAATATTTATATGAACGCTAAGGAAACACAACAGAGCATTGGATTTGGGTAGCTGGATCAGATTCAACTTATAAGTAATGTCAGAAGCATGATTTCAGACAGGATGAAAGTGAGTTTCCAAAAATTCATTAGCAGGTTACCTTTCCAGCAATCAACAACAAAAGCAATAAAGTGCATTATTATGTTCCAGTCCAGCAGCGGCTCCTACTCTCATATGGAGCGTGGCTTTTGAAATCCTGCTTTAAAGGAATGTTTCACAACATGAGTAACACTAATGAGCTGCGAGGAGTCCAGAAAAACATTGTCTCATCTCTGCTGCCTTCCCACATGGTTGAAGAGAGCGGGGGACCTTGGGTGGCTGTGCTGCAAGCGGAAAGATTCAGTGACTAGAAGGGGAAAGAAGGAACAACAAAAAGAGGTATTCTGCAGCCTTGACTCATGCTGAAGGATTGTAAATCTGTTCCTTAATGAATAGATAGAAAATATGAGAAGAGGCAGTGGCAGAATTACAGCAATCCTTTCTTAAAGGAAAGCAGAATTGTAAATGAAATTACTCAGATATTCACACGTCCAAGACCCAGTAAGTTCCTCAGGAACCCAAACAGAGCTGCTCTACTCACAGTGCCTGGAAGCCCAAATTATAAACATGATGATTTTACACTTACCTCATTTTTTTTTTTTAACCTATTTACTTTCAGGGTGCCCTATGCTGTCACCCAGCCATTTCTGCAGGTGAAATTCAGCCTCTTCCAACTGTAAGATGTTTTAATTAACATGTTGCTAAATAGGAAAAAAAAATATGTCTACTGAAATGCTAAGAGAGCAAGGAGACACGAAGTTTCTGCCTCTGGTTGTCTGAATGATGTCAAATACGTTGTAACAGTCAGCTCACAACAAAACTCACTGCTCAGGAAAGCATTGGCCACCGCCACAGATCTTCCACCTGGCCAACAACCCATCCAGCAGCCTTCCAAGGGTAGCTCTATGGCCTTCTGAAGAAAACTCTCAGATGTCAGAGACAATCAGTGATTTAGCAGGCAGTAATACTCCTTGTCCTATCACTTCGGATGCTTTTCCTTTCTCTCAGAGAGAATCAAGGGTTAACAGCCAAACCCAAGAGCTCTGGTAGCCAGGGGACCACGAGACAGATTTTCATTTTCTGCTCCCAATTACGTGGGTGTTTGCAATGAAACTAGATTTAGGGGAAGAAAAAGTTAATAGCTCAAACATAGATCCAGCTCCGCAGAGCCTCTTATAGGGAACGTGCTGACAAGAGCAGAGCCTTCATTTAAAATTTAAGATGACGTTTGACTGCAGTGCCCAGACAGCTACTTTGTGATGCCATCGAGGTCACAACCCTAAGAACTCCAGACAGATTCAGAATGTGACTCATCACTATAAGCATCACCTACGTGCTATAAATATTACAATGCCACTAGAGAACAATACTACATTCAGTGAAAATTCAGGATCACAGCTGCTGAAACACAAACGCTGCCGATGCAAGGACTCAGAGTGGGAATGATCCATCAGTTCCACGCAGGAAACATTGAGTTCTCAGAGCTGCACCTCTGTTTTATTGTCTGACAAGGAGGAATAGCTCACAAAAACAGGGTCTGCAGGAATCCACTTCTTTGCATCCATACCACGAATGAAAGTGTTACTATTAACATGGAAAAGAACATCATTTTCTAAGCCGTAAATAGTTTAGAGACAATCCACATTTGGAAGTGGAATGACTTTGGACAGCAAATGCACAAGCTGTAATTTTTTTCCTTACTGAAGCATACTGGAACAGTGCAAACAAAAGGCACATTCCCCAAAGTACCCATCATGTGAGGAGTTGGCCAACACTGCTCCTTGCGCAAGGACAGCAAATTCAGCCCTTTGCAAACAGAAATACTCACCTTCTCCGGACTGAAAGGACAGTGACAGCTGTCAGCAGACACCCAGCCACACAAAGGTCAAGGAAAACCAATTCAATCACATCCCCCCCACTTAACCTTTTATTATTATTATTATTAGCTTTATATTGGACGTAGAGGAAAGGGGGAAGGAACCCATCACCTTACAGCATCTGCATCTCTGAAACGCTCATAGCAAAAAGGATGAGCATTCCCACATTTAACGACATCACTGCCTGCACTTGCTGTGCTGTGACAGCACTCAGAGGAGCCACAGGTTCTCCTGCACCACTTCAGCACAAATTTACCTGCACCTCCTCTACATTCTAAACTGCACCAAAACTTATCATCAAGAAACTTAATTCCCTCCAACTCACAGCCACAGCTCTTCCCACTCGAGACAAGGAGCGAAGCACTGAGGTTAGCTGTAACTTGCTATGTATTTCCTACCACTCGCTTCATCCCACAGGAAAGAACCCTGCTGGGAAGTCCAGGAGAATACAGCAGCACTTCACTAGCTAAAGCACCCTCCAGAGTAGCTGCGTGTGGCATTCTGCTATCCATGTTCTTCCTCAGTACCTAAGAAGAGGGAGAAAGATCTGAGAATGCTTTCAGAGCCTGCTGACCCCAAAGTGCAGCTAACTGAAGCTACAAGTTGCATCTACATACCCACCCATACATAATCCCTACTTGCCATGTTAACATAAACATTTAGAAGACACCGTAAATTACAAGAACCAAACACAAAACCAGTCTTCCAACCCCCAGCTGTCAGCCCTTAAAGCTACTCTTGAACTGGAGCAGAAAACAAAAGGTTTCAGTCCCATGACCATACTCTGCCCTTCGCCCACCACTCCTCCCCCTGGATTCCATATGTTTTCAGTGCAATGGGCAGAAAGCTGTGCAGGCTCTGGGCACACCGAGCAGCACAGCAGCTCCAGCCACTGCCACACACACACAGACAACTCAGGCTGTTATATGAGACCTTCAGGTTTTGCTCTGTGACACCCGACTGCTCAGAGGCCACAGATGATCTCATCATCCTGAGCATTTATCCTCACACTGGATCCAAATGCTGCCCTGGTACCTCTAATAATTCTGCTGGTTATAGGTGAAGCTCATAAATGAAACTCAGCACAGAAGTCTAGAGTCGAATGAAATAGGATTAGGAATTTTGCAATACAATTTGCAACCCGGAGAAACAAAATATCCTCGCAACACAGCGCAGGGCTACAGCACTCCCTTGGGAGTGACTTACATTTTGCCAAACGGATTTTACTGCTTCTGAGGTTTCTTTCTGCAAGCAGCTTCCCAATGCTTTCCCCCATAGGAACAAACAGAAATCCACGCACGTTAACATTCTACCTTCTCTAAAGAGCAACCTTGATTTTGCTTCTCCTTTGTTACACTGCAGGAGCAACCCATGAGCATGTGCTCAGCCTGGTAGATGGGCACCTTACCTTGCAACACAACTCTGGTGAAACAACACCAACCCACCTGCAGACATTAAGTTTCTAAACGACAATTAGAAACACCTGTTACCACCCCAACTTCCACTCCATCAAACGGCCACAGCAAATCCTACACCAGTCACACCCTACAATGGGCATTTTTAATTCATGACACCTGTTTGAACAACTATCACATGACTACTTAAAACAAATACTAAGTTTTAAGGCTAATAGAAAACCAATTTTGTTTAAGAAGCACCAACCAAAGGTGGTGGCGTGTATTAAATCCAAGCTGGTTGTGTGATCCCTTTCCCCAGGAAAGAGGGGGGGGACTCAGAGAGGGATGCTAACATTCTGCCCCAGATACCCACAGCTCTGGAAAGCGATTCATTGACAAAGCTCAGCCCAACATAGCACACAACGACTCCTGCCAGCGTGGTATCCAGCCTCACAGCACCTGGTTGCTGTGTTTTCCTCCTCACTAACCTGCTACACTTCCCAAGCTATACTGAGGACACAAGAAACGTTGGTGCCGAAGATGGCAAAGACAGGATTTCACCGGTAAAACTTTAGGAAAAAGGAAATCGTTCCAAACACACAACCGCACACAGCTGCAGGGATCGCAGTGAGCCTCGCACAAGCACCTCTTTCCTCGATCTGGTGCAGAAACATCTCAGCATCGCCTGCACTGCTCAGAAGGCGAAAGCAGGAGCTAAGCCCACCTCGAGAGCCCCACGTTTATTCTCCTGCATCGAAACGATTCCAGCGAGTCGCTCGGACTGCTTAAGCTCCCCACAAAGCGCGCAGGGCTCAGAAAGCAATGCCAGCCGCAGAGCTGCTTACAGAAACGAATCAAAGCAGCATCGCTACGGCTCTCCATCATTCCGTAGCACCACGGACGAACACGGGACGACCCTCAGCACCCCGCGTTCAGGTCGCTATTTCTAACTGCACCACCGCAACGCCGCAGCGAAGCGGGACGCTCGTTTAACTGCCCGGCCGAGCGGGCAGGGCTGCGATTAGCACGGATAACACAGCCGTGCCTACAAGACGGCCCAAAAGCGGGTCCCGCAGCGCCATGGCGGTTCGCCCCGCTACCAAACATGGCTGCACCGCGTCCTCTTTGTGACCGAGCCCGCATTTCCCCTCCGCCTCTCCCAGCTCCCGTCCGCGCGCAGCCCGGCGCCGAGCCCGGCATCACCGCTCCGCTCCCTGCGTTCCGCCCCGCGCCGCCGCTCCCTCCCGAAGCCGGACCCACCTCCGAACCACGCACACACCGAAAAATAAAGCAGCCCGACCGTCCTCCGCTCCGCAGGGCGGCTCCGCGCCCGGCGCTCGCTCGTTTGATCGGTCATTCCGGCGCGCTCCCCGCCCGCCCCCCCGGCTCACCCACAGCTCCGTGCCCCAGCTCATGGCTCCGCCGGCGCCGAGCGGAGGGCGGGCGGGGGTCGCTGCCCCTCAGCGAGGCTTCCTTCCCTTTCTCTCCCCGCACGCGAAGAACCGGCTCGGATCCCGGTGTCGACAGCGAGGACGAAAAGCGGGACGGGCGCTGCTCACCGCCGCTCCCGCCTCATCGCGCCGCAAAATGGCCCGAGCGGCGCCGCGCGGAGAGGCGGCGGCGAAGCGGGGCGGGCGGGGGGGAGCGCTTGACAGCTCTGGCGCACCGCGCACGCGCGTCCCGCGGCGGTTAAAAGGGGGGGCGAGGAGAGCACCGCGCATGCGCGGCCGGCGGTTGCGCGCCCCCGCGTCTTCTGAGAACGGCAGGAGCGCGCCGCCCCCCGCCGGGCACCGCGAGTCGGCGGGCGCTCCTTGCCCCGCAGCGGCGTGCCGCCCTGCCGCGTTTCTCACAATAAGAAGCGCGGGTTTTGTTATTTAACTTTCAAGCAAACGTTTCCGTGTCGGAGATTTGCGCGGGGGCAGCCGCCCCGATGAATAAGGCAGCCCACACCCTGCAGGAGGGGCATCTTCCGTCCCCCCGCTCCCCGACCCGCACTGAGAAGCGGCGGTTCCGCCTCCGCCAGCAGCACGGGAGCAGGACAGCGATGGAGGGACCTGCGCGCAGCCCGACGCGGGGCACGGCAGCGGTCACGCAGGCCTTATAGAAATCAGCTCGTTTCCTTGCTGGAGAAATAAGATTTTGTGCTCATCTTTGCGACAGCTGCGTCACCTAATCTGATTTTATGCTTCTGCTTTTCGGCTACAAGGAAGGAATCCAAAGGTCTTTTCACCTGTCTTTGCTGCATCTCTGTAAACCCCAACCCCCCTTTGTATACGTGAATAAATGTGCTTTGCCCTTTTTGCACCCGAGGAGGACAGAATCTGCTCACAGAGGGCTGGGATCCTTCTGATAACTGCACGCATTGCCTCCCCCGGATTCATGCACTTACTGGATAGCACGTGGATATCAGTCCGCATGAGGAAAAAAAAAAACAATAGAAGGATAACAGAAGCGATTCCAACATTTGGAACAACGGTGAAGATGAGCAGATGCTAACGGTGCAACTGCATTTCGTTTTAGCCGCGTTGGTTTGAACGCGAGAGGAGTTCTAGCACCCTTGAAGCGAGGCTCAGAGCACTGCTTTTGTTCACCATTAAACGTTAACATCTTTAAAGTCTACATCACAGCTAAGAGACGCTGATCACCTCATTTCACAGAATACTTCTTCCTGCTGTTGCCAACGTATTTGAATATCTCAGCCTGCCTGAAGCACAACTGCAGCATCCCAAGGGCTTCTACATCCACAGTAGAAGGATACCAGGAGCTGCTGTCCTCCCTTAGCTTTACGTCCACCCAGAACACATTACAAAACCGGAGAACATCATTGCATCACAGCTGTTTGAGACCTTAATCCATAAATACTTGAACAAAAAGGACGCAGAGTCCAAGCGCAAAGCAGCGCTGGTATCATCTGAGGCAAATTTGCAGTGGAATTTCCTTTTGCACAAAGACCTGGGAGGGGAACAAGGCAAACCTGTTACACCAGCAAGGGCAGGGAAACCTGTCCCCACTGAAAGACAAAAAACACATAGCTGGTTATTGAAAGGTACAGGCCAGAAATGCAAGTTCTGCATTAGGATGGCACATCAGAATCAATACCACCAAAACCTGTGGATAAATTAGTAAGATTCGTGTGGATGGGGCTCAAGGGAAAAACTAAGTAAGCTGCATTCCAGATATTTCTGGTAGATTTTTTCCCCTCCCATCTTTGTTATTTAGTCTGAAGCTCTCCAAGACAGAGACTGCCACTTACATCACTGCTTTGTTTGTGCAGTGCTCAAAACAGCAGAGCCTGCAGCTTGATTCGTCCTTAATTACTAATGTAATTAACAACGATGGGAGCATTAAGAGCCCTCTGTACTACAGCATGATGTGAGAAGGCTTAGCAGCCTCAAAAGAACAGTTCAAAATAACACTTAGAAAACCGATTATTTACTCTCCATTATTACCTAATTTACACAATGCAAGGCAGAGCAATACAGAAACCAGTCGGAGTTTTCCCCTGGCTGCACTAAGAACAAAACCATTCAGATCTGTTATCTGGATACAGGCATATTCCTATAAATTCTGTGCTTATATCTGTTACTGTGATTCAGAGCATTCCTCACACCAGATCCCAAGCCCAAATAATTTCTTTAACAAAAACCAAACAAAAAAAAAACAACTTCAAAACAGCTACCTTCCAAATCAGTCAGCAACCAAGAAAGGTAAAACAAACCCCTCAACCACAGTTTAACCTGTGCTTCCTCACACAAATCAAGGAAAATCACGGAAAAGTACAAGTATTTCTAACTTCCAGAACATAAAAGGAAGGGGATCCACCTTTCCCCCCCATGGTTATCATCCCTGCAGCTGCTTCCCTTTTATTTTTACAATTCTACCTAGACCATCCACATCCAAGACACGTAATGGAGATGTTGCTTATAACCTCTCGTACACTGGAACCGAAACAGCACCAGGAAAGGAAGAGGACACACCTTTCCCTGAGGCCATCACCATTACAGCTGCTTCCTTTCTGCACTCACAACCTACCCAGCTCAGTCAGACACACAGCAGGGGACCTCTGTTCCCTATCATGGCCTAGAGGGGTCTGATTAACACCTGATGAGGAGCTGATAAACCTGAATAGCCCTGGCCATCCTCACCTGGAGCCTCCACCCCCCCCCCCCCACCCTGCACACACCCTCTGCCCACGGCCACAGGAGCCTTATTTAAGCATTGGTTTGAGGCGTTATTTTATCCTTCAGCTATAAATTAACTTCTAATTTCAGCATCTAAGCTGTAAAATGATTTCTTAGATCATCCCTGTTTTACTGTTATGAGCTTGCTTGATGCTTGCAGCTTCTATCCCCAGGTTTATTTTGCTTAGTAACTGTAGAACCACAACCTAAAAGGTGAGGTCACTGCCCTTCTGACTCTGCTTTTGTGCTCTGTTTCTTTTTTTAGAGAAAAAATAGGCTTTGCTATTCTGCAACATACCCATAACATGTTCATAGAGTACATCAGTAACTGAATGCTTAACCCACTTTTACTTTGTACTAAAGGTGTACTTACATGCTATCCATATGCCAAGAGTTTCTTGATGCTGCTGCTGGTTTATCATCCAATCTCAACAGTTGCTCATTGTACACTTTCAAAAAAGTCTGTGAGGAATTCTAATTATGTTCAGGTACGTGTGGGGAAAAACAATGAAAAGGAACATAAAGAAACTAAGCTTATGTGAACACAGTAAAGAATAACTGCTAGAACAGTCAGACAGGGTAAACAGCAAGGTTTATCTCGTCTGATGATTACAGTAAAACATCAGTGTAAAGATGAGATTTGTTCCTACAGTGTATTACAGAGAAAAGACAATTTGTGTATTGTTAGGAATGTAAATTTAAGTCTATAATCTGTTAATGCATACATCCTTTGAAAAAATGTATAACCACAGAAAGTAAACACGTTACAAATTCTAACTTTCACGGATCACTTAGTTTGGGTCAGTTGTGATTTAGTCACCACGATATCCTGAGAGCTGGCAGAGAGTTACATCGAGGAGAAATATTCAGTCAATTTCAGTTTGTGACATAAAATTCCCTGAGTGCTATTAGGAAATACCTTCTGATAGGAGAGGCTGATGGGCTGAACCAGGGCCTGGAATTATACAGGAAAGCTTCATGCTTTTTGGCCACTGAAGTAGTCACAGAGAGCAGAGCAAGGCACAAAGCCTGTGCTGCAGCTGTGGCTGCAAACAACCACTTCTCATCAGCCTCTAGGTTTCCTAGGGAGGTCTGAGCACAGGATGATGGTAGTTACAACACTAAAAATATGGATTTGGAGAAAAGAAGGTGGACCAGAACTATGCTTTGGTTCTCTGATGTTGTCCCATAGCTTTCCCATAGCTGGCAGGCTGTAGCACCACGAAGCCTGATGCTGAAGGGACATCTAGCGGCTCAACCGATTACCACCTAGAAAAAGAACAATCGAAGCTTGTTTATCAGCCTTCCAGGTATTTTCTGGTATCTTTGGTGGCGTTGAAAGACCTGTGTTTATTTTATTGCCTAAGAGAATGAGAGAAAGAAGGGGAGATGAAATAGGAGGTAATGTGTAGAGTAACACCCGAATCACTGCTGATCAAAGATGGGACGTTCCATATAAGTGTTATAACAAGGGTCAGGATTTTTTCTCTGCTCGGCTGTTCCATTGCATGCCTGGCTCAGGAAAGCTGCACGGCTGGCACCACGTGCTCTGGAAGGAAAAACATGGAGCGATGAGAGCTGACAGAACACAGGAGCTGCGTTTTATCAAGTTGCTAAGGCAGATCACATCTTTCAGAAATGGTTTTAGCCATGGGTAAGTCTGAAGGCTGCCTTCATTGTCCCTTGGCAGGCTGTCTGCTCCTCGTGTAACTCTGAGCAACGCAGACCAGACTGAAGCCAAGTCTGGGCTGCGTGTAGCTTCAATTGGGACCAGGGCGATCAAATAGCTCAGTAGTTCCTAAGCTACCCCACTAAGGAAGCAGAAAGCCTTCTGTTACATATAGAGAGATGTTTAAAACGAACTACCGAGCCCAGAGCTCAGCAGAAGCACCCAGCAGGTCGGACTGCGCGCTGCTCCATTATTACCTAATTTACACAATGCAAGGCAGAGCAATACAGAAACCAGTAGGAGTTTTCCCCTGGCTGCACTAAGAACAAAACCATTCAGATCTGTTATCTGGATACAGGCATATTCCCGTAAATTCTGTGCTTATATCTGTTACTGTGATTCAGAGCATTCCTCACACCAGATCCCAAGCCCAAATAATTTCTTTAAACAAAAACCAAACAAGAAAAACAACTTCAAAACGCTGCCATCGCGCCGCAGGCACGAAGCCCGAACCAAGCTAAGTGCAGGGCGGGCCGGGGGACGTCACGTGGGCAGCAGGCGCGGCTGGGGACACGTGCGGGCATCTCGGGGTGTGTCCGTGAAGCCACGCCCACCTCGAGTCACGTGACCTTCCCAGCGCAACCCGCTCCCGGAAGTGCCGCGGGAACAGGATGCTGATGTTGGAGTAAACATGGCGGCCCGCGGCCTTCCCGCCGCTCTTCCTGTGGCGGTGCTGGCGTTGCTGTGCGCGGGTCCGGCCGGAGCCCGCGTCCATCACCTCACCCTCAAAGTAAGGTCTGCGCCGTGGCGTCCTTTCGGCTCGGTTCCGAGTGGGGTGAAGGGAGCGGTGGGCCCGGTCTGATCCCGTTCTCCTCAGGCCGGGAGTCTTCTCCTCACCCCGGCCCTGTCCCGCTGCCTGGCCCGGCTCTCCCGCTGTGTTTTGGCCTGCTGGGGCCCGGGTTGGCTTTGCTTTTGTTCCCCGTCCGTCCGGGCTGTGGGTCGGGCTGTGGATGCGGGCCCGGTGTGCGCTGGGAGCTCCCTCTGACTCGCTGTTAATCCGCGTTCTGTTTGTTCTTCCCTTCCTATCTCCTGTCGTTCTACTCTGAAGACTGTGGTGCTGCTTTATTCCTCTTACCGATGCGCGTTCTTCGCGTTTATCAAGTGATTGGTAGAGGCAGAAGAAGGAAGGGGTGCTGACCGCTCTCTACTTCAGCTTAATGGACTTAAGGTTGCACATTTTGAACGATCCCGTTGTGGTTTTGTAGCCATGTTTGAGAACAGCTCGTTACTGGCAGGCTGTGGTGGGAGCTGCAGCCTCAGCAGTGCTGCTGGGCTCGTGAGAAGGCTGTCCTGGGGTTTTGCTGCAGGAGAACAGCAGTGTGGGGAGCATACCAGAATATTACAGTAACATCCTTTATGTCCTTAATTAAGAGGCCCTTCATTCCTTCCTCATTCACAGGGAGTTTTCCTGTCTTTGTAGTAGTCTAAAATGCAATGGAATGAACGTTGTTCTGCCTCAGGAAAAGTTAACGTTCTCTTCAAATAACTAATTAGGAAACTTCTATTGGTTTGCTGTTTGGAAGACTTCCTGTCTGATAGTTGGATGCTGGAAGTTTATACTGAGCTGCTATTTCTGTTACATAGTAAACTTTTGAGCTGGTTTCAAGCATACCTTCTCAGGAGCAAACATTGCTGTTTATAGTTCCTCTTTCAGGCTGAGGGAGCTGGGCTTGTTCAGCCTGGAGAAAAGAAGGCTGTGGGGTGAATCATTGCAGCCTTCAGTACCTAAAGGGAGCCTCCAAACAGGAGGGGAATCAATTCTTTGAAAGGGTAGATAACAGCAGGACAAGGGGAAATGGTTTTAAGTTGAGGGAGGGAAGATTTAGGCTGGGTGTCAGGGGGAAGTTCTTTACAGAGAGAGTGGTGAGGTGCTGGAACAGCTGCCCAGAGCGGCTGTGGATGCCCCATCCATCCCTGGAGGTGTTCAGGGCCAGGTTGGATGGGGCACTGAGCAGCCTGGGCTGGTATGAAATGTGGAGGTTGGTGGCCCTGCGTGTGGTGGGGGGTTGGAGATTCATGATCCTTGAGGTCCCTTCCAACCCTGGCCATTCTATGATTCTTATTCAGGCATTTTTAAACTGCAAGGATATAAAATGCTTGATTTTAAAATATATTTTATTATTACAATCAAAGTGAAGTATGATCATAGCTGAGTAGTATGACTTTCATGTAAGTTGCAACACTGACCAGTCAAACACCAAGGGAAACAGAAGTGCTTTCGTGCCTTTGTGCACCTGTGTAAACGTGAGCTTCATTGTTGGAGTGCAGTCTCTTCGTTTGTGGTTTTACAGCACTTCAAGTAAACATCCGGTTCTCTAACGATGGCCCTTCACAATGAACGGCCCTTCTGGTGTTGGTGATGTTGGCAATGTGTGCTCTGAGGCTGTGCTGACTTAGAAGTATGGGCATATTAGGTATGGGCTTCCTCAAACAAGCTGCTGTTGCCTAAGTTAGAAAAGCTTTTTCTGGCTTGGTAACTAATGTGCTGAAGTGAAGCTTTTCTGTTTTTCTGTGTCTTGAGTAAAAATAGCTTTTTATCTTTATGGAAATGTACAAAGTGAACTATTTCTCTTGTTTCTGAAGATGAATTTGTTTGAATCTTTCTGCTAGGATAACATCACCAAAGATGAGTTTCTTTCTTGGCAACACTCATTATTAGCTTTGTTAAATGAATATGGTAACTTCTAAATAAAACCAGAAAACACTTGGAAAAGTTTTAGAAAATGTATGGAAACAATTCTTCGAGATTTCCACAATGAGGTGGGAACGTTTCTGGTTACCAAAACTATGGTTAAGGTTGTTTTTGGAAGTGTGTTTTGTTTTCCCCAGTCTCAGCAAATGAAAGCTGTGTTACTGCAGCCTTGTGCTTTGCACAGTGCAGTGGCAAACTGCTTCAGAGAATGGGGAAGTTTGTGTAGCTGCGGCCTTTGTCATGCACACAGTTAAGCTTAATGCTGGTGAGCTGCTGAAATTAAGAAGCATCTAGAGATTTAACAAGAGGAGCCATCCAGCCAACGGTGCTACGTAGCCAGTCGTGGTGGTGCTTTCTGATTAGAGTTATCTTTGCCATGCAGTGGTTTCCAAAAGGGAAGCAAAACCCCCTCCTATGTAACGACGTTGTCTGAATTTCAACTTCGTGTTAAACTTGTATGTGGGAGATGTTAATTTCCAGTGGTTGTTTCTGTCCATGAATCCTTTTTATCTTGTTAAGACTTGGATTTCAGTTGCATAAGTTGAGAAGACCTTTCAAAACAACTTAGTCTTGTACAAATTACTGGGCTTACACAAATAATACAAGTCATGCCATGTAAGGGTCAGTGCCCTCAGTTGACATTTTCTCTGTGCTAATAGCATCATCCCAATTACATTTTGAGTAAATTGTTAAATAATAATTTGTGGATTCTGAGCTACAGGATCTTGGATGACACTTCTTTTAGTCATGTTCGGACGGTGCAGGGTGTTTGTTTAGTGTAGGATTCCTTTGTACTGATTCACACCTTTGTTATAAAGACACAATCTTAGGTTTCTGTAGTCAGAAATCGAGAGATTATAAACAAAAGCCTTATTTTTCCGACCTGTTAAAACTAGGGTGGAAGGTGAGACAGCTATTGATAAGCCTGCAACTTTAAGCTGTCAATATGTGGAGCAGGGGATGCTCTCGGGGGATGTGCTGTTGCTTCTTCAGATCGTGTAAAGCTGAAGGATTGGTGAACTAAATCTGTAAACTCTAAGCACTCAAAGCTGATGTAAAACCAGGGAGGAAAGTGCATGTTGTGTGTTAATTATCATTTGTTGATGGGCAGCATATTGGTGAACTGCTGGAACAAATGAACTTAAATTGAACTGCTTGCAAGAAGTTTGAATTAAGCAGCTGTTTCTTATTGTATTTACAGCATGCAGAAAGCCTTGTGGCTGGGTGATGCTCTTTTTCCCTCTTTGCCCTGCCCCTGCCACCCACACAAATGATTATCCCTCCAGAAGTGCTTAATACCATACCAGGTGTACAGCTAAAAAAGCTACTCTTAACCTGCTGGCTGAGAAATTACATTGAAAGCTCTGTGAAATTAACCAGATGGACTAATTGCCTCAAGAATGTAAGTGACCTACAGCATGGAGATAGCACAGCTATAGCACTCTGTTAAACAAGGCATCTGCTGCAAGCCATGTGTTGCTGACATTCTTTCCCTCTTCTGAGCAGTAGGGGAACCATCTGGTTATTTGCCAGGTTAACCTGATTCTATTAGGGTGATCTCTTTTCCCTGCTAGATTGCAGGTTGGCTGTGTCAGGATTTATGTCCTGCTGTTAAGCTGAGTGGTATTTGTGTAAGGAAAGTCTTATGTAGAGATATCAAATTAATATTTGGTTTCAAGGGGGAGAGATAACTACACTTTAAATTTGCTTCTTAATTTTAGTTGTTCTGTTCTTATTTTCCTCCCAGTTAAAGATTCTGTAGGATTTGAGGGTTTGATTCCATACCTATTCTATGATTTTTGAATACAAAGTTTTAGGGATATGACCTTTCCTTGTCTGATATGTTGGTGTGTAACTTTTACTGCTTTTCGTGTGTGGTCCTTCATGATCTCCTTATGGGGAGGACAATAAAAAAGCCAAGTGTACTTGAATTGTTTTCAACTGAGCTGGTTATGAGAAACTATCCATTCATGCAGTTTCTTTGCCAGTCTGAGAGGAGATGAGTTATTCTGCAACTAAGATGAGGGGCAGAAGACAGGAGTGGAATTCCTGGTAGGAAACCCAAGTGATTCTGTTTGATCTCATTATTCCTACCGGACATTAATGATTCTTAAGTCTTGAGGCCTTGCATCTTAGGTAAGAGCACCATAACTAGCTATTTCCTCTTCAGTCTCTTGCAGTGTAGGGGCTAGGACTCATATTTTTCTTAATTTTTTTTTTTAGTAGCGATACTTCATTTAATCAGCAGTCCCAGAAATTGAATTTCCTCCAGGCTTTTTTCTTGCATCTTTCTCAGGAGTATAGTCAAGTGATAAGCATTGACACATTTGTTTGAAGCTCACGTTAAGGTTGTTGGAAGAGCTGATTGATTCCAGTGAAATAATTGGCTATAACTGAAGGTGTCCTAAAGAAATTTGCCTTGGTATGATCAGATAAATGTTCTGCGTGAACACTGGAGTGCCAACCTCGGTCACCCTATTTCCTCTTTTGTTGCTCCTGCAGGTGGCTGTGTGTTTAACTCAGCCAAAACAGTGACACTGTATGAGATTTGTAAACTCTTTTCTTTCTCATAGGATGATGTGAGGCAGAAAGTGCACCTGAATACATTTGGCTTCTTCAAGAATGGTTTCATGAAAGTCAATGTGAGCAGCCTTTCACTGAAGCCACCTGTGGATGCTGATGACAAGAGCAGCTCATCAGTAAGTTACTTCACATCCAGTCACTGCATTAAGCTTCCTGGGAAATTACCCTTGCAGTGGGTTTTTTAAACCTGTTTGAAGTGTCGTATAATGAGTAGTGCTGATTGCATCCTTCCCCTTGTGAGCAACTTGTGGGGATACATGGCCTACAAGGCTCGTCCTCAAGTGTTATTCATTCTGCTTTAAGAACTAATTTTAAATTATCAGATTCTCTGCTGAACTTGTGTGTTTGCATATATCTATTTTGTGTGTGAAATAGAATAATTGTGTTGGAAGAGACCTACAAAGATCCTACATATAATATATCGGAATGATTTGCTGTATAACTAGATAATAGCAAAAGAAAATCTGGATTCAGCCTTAAATATAGCACAGTTTATTTAAGAAATGCCATTTTTGATTGATTTTCATCATGACTTGGCTTCTCATCCAGGGGTGGCTGAGCTGTTTTAATTTGACAGATTCTTGTTAACTGTCTCATAGGTGGGGTTCAGTCTGGATCGAACAAGGAATGATGGGTTCTCCACTTATCTGGTAAGAGATGCGGAATTTCTTTTCTATGCTACGGACACATCATTGTGTACTTCCAGGAGGAGCTGGAAGGAAGGAAGAGCCATTAGATATGGGCATGTTGTTATGGATAATCCAGTTTTGCATCTTACTGGACTAAAATTAGTTACCTGCACCTGGGGGAGAACATGTCCATTTCTTATTAACAGAAAGGTACTTTGAGGATGTTTTGCTTTCATTGCCAGGATGAAGAAGTGGATTACTGTATTTTGAATAAGAAACCTGAGCAAGGTGTTTCTGTTGTAATCTTACTTCTGGACTTCAAAAACGATGTGTGAGTAAATAGAATTCTTTTGAAATGGCTATTGGCATATTTTGATAAGTTAATTTTTCCTTTCTGATCATATGTAAGTCATGACAGCCTCTTTAGGAATATTGATTGGCTTAATTTTGTACTAAAAAAAAAAAATTGTTTCCTCAGTGTGAAGGTACGGTTCTCTGCAGAAGCTTCTCACCTGCTGCCTAGAATTTCATTTGTGTCTGAAGAAAATGCCACTGCCTTGATTACCAAGCCACCAAATTCTTCTGAAGATAAAAGTGATTCCAATAAAAGTCCGACAGAAACTAACAAAAATACAGATGGCAAAGGTGAGCCTTGCTAAACCTGACTGCATGTGCTTTCATTGCTGATTTCTGGTCAGTGTGCATCCAATTGTGTTGTGCTTGCATTCCAGGCATCCCCTTGGGCTAGAATTTACACAGCCTTGTAAAAATAGAGCATGCATCTTTATTTTGCTCAGTTGTTTGAACAAGTCAGGGTATGAGGCTGGATAACACTGAAGACCATTCATCAACAGGTCTAGTTTTGTTGTTTCTTGCAGTAGCATAGCATGAACATTGACAGTGTGCTGACATGCAAAAGCTAAAAATAAAATTTAAGTTTTGAACTTTTACTATCTTAACATTTGATGATGCATTCAGAATGAATGGATATAGAGAGAAGAGTCCTGGGATAGCAGGGGAGGGGTTGGGGAGAAATCTGTTAATGATTATCTTGGAAACTGCCACGTGGATTAGCATAAGAACGTTTGAGTAAGGAACAGGCAATGTGTAAAAGGTGGTAGTCTATGAGGATGTCTGTATGCAAACACTCTGAATATCCCATTAATATTTATTTCTATTTCTAGATACGAAGTCCAAACGAAGTACAACATCCTCTCAGGTAAGAAACTATCTGCTGATCTCATTCAGAAAGAATGTGGGGGAGCATTCCAATACAGGTATGCCAAGAAAGTTGAGAGAAGTGTTTCATTGCTCTTAGCCTCCCCATAAACTTATAAAATTAGTTCTGATTGTTTGGATGATGTAACCAGATGTAGGTACCTGCTTTGAAATCTGTGTTTATTTTCTTCTTTCCAGAACATAGTAGAACAAGAGCATCCTGTTCACAACGACAAAGGAACTATCTCATTCCAGGTAGGGCTTCTGCCATTGTCTAGTCCTAATATGTTCAGACAATTCCTTTGTTTCAGCACACCGTTTCTCTTGTGGTTGTTGGTTCCTATAAAATGTTTGAAATTGTCATGTGATACAGTACAGATTTATATAGCTATGAAAATGTGTGTGGTTGGGATAGGAGCAGAGCAGCTACTTTTGTATTTGGGCAAGCATGATCAAAATTCTGTGGTTCGTCACATTAGATAGAGGACAGTTGTTGCTATCTTTTCTCTGCTGTGAAATAATTTTAGCACTGATGCCTGAAGGTCTTGGGTTTTTAGAGTGCACAGTCATAGTGTGTCTCTATCTTATATGTTGTTGAGATTTCCCCGTGTGCAGGTATCCTCAAAACAGTGTATTTGCTGAGAGGAAACAGCTGACCTGATTTTTCTAGCTCCAGTGGGGATAGCTTCTTTACAGTACAGCCTGGTTGTTGAATGAAAATGATGTTGACTTACCTATTTGTTGTTTTCAGTTTTTCTTTAACATCAGTTCTGATAACCAAGAAGGTCTCTACAGCCTGTATTTCCATAAATGTATTGGCAGTGATGGGAAACCTCGTGATCAGCAGCTATTTAGTCTTGATGTGAGTATAGCTCCTTAAGTGCAATTAACTCATTTGCTTTATCTAAAATATACAACTTTCAGTTATAGCTTATATACCACATGTGCTTGGTATACAAGTGTATGTATGGGGTGGGAAGTGATTCAGAGCTGTGCATTTAATCTCCGTAGTGCCATTTCTGAAGGCAGCAACTACAGTAAGAAGAATTAAAATACAACTTCTAGGGAAATGTTTGGAAACATGAAGGCTACATGTGGGCTTCAGTGTACGCAGTTGTGACTGGTACTGTAACGAAGTGAGAGCTTAAACAGCTCATGTCTGGCTGCTGTCAAAAATCTTTTCTTTACACAATTACAGATATTAAGACTTGTTGCAATTTAAATTGTTGGTATTTATGAATTTTCAGGGCTTTTTTTTTTTTTCTGGCCAGAATCACGATGCATTTTTACAGTGCTGAGTGAATATTCCTAAGGGTTATATTTTATAGCACGTTTCCTATCTCTTTTAACATCCAGAGGTTCAGTTCTGTGCTGTTGAGCCAGGGGTATAATAGAACAGCTCAGGCTGTGGATGTAGATCTGAAAATGTTTTGAAATTCTTGAGGATGAAGAGCTGATTCTGTAGAGGTCACACTGAAAGTGATGCCTCCTATTTGTTTCCATGGAAATGACAACAGGTACAAGTAGCACAGTAACACTGCTTGATAAAGCAATTTCTTAGCTACAAAACACTGTTTTTCAACATAGTCACTACCATTAGCTATGCATTTTTTGCCAGCACCCACCGCCTTACTGTGCTGATATCCACTGTTTGGTATCCATAAATGTTCAGCAGGTGTTGATGAACATCAGTAGGTGCAATTTTTTCCATATCAAGGAATTCAGTGGCATGCGTTTGCTTCATATGCACTTCTGTGTCAGACACCATTTGTCAGACTGCCCCTTCTGCTGTTGTCTGTCATACAGCAGCAAAATGCAATGGGATACTGGTGGGAAGGTTCATCCTCTGCTGCCATATGACCAGCATTCACCTCATGTCATGGACCAACGTACTAAAATAGGAGGCATCACTTTTGGAGTAGCCCTTGTATTTTTTTTTTTTCTTTGAGTCTTGTAATATTACCTCTCCTGAAAGACTAATTGTAATTGGGAGAGTCTTTGCATGAGTGCTTTAGCCACATGTTTTTTCAACTGTCCTCATAGCATACCATTAATATTCAGATAGAAATTACGGAGAAGAACCCTGAAAGTTACCTCTCAGCAGGTGAGATCCCGCTGCCAAAACTTTACATCTCCATGGCACTCTTCTTTTTCCTGTCTGGCACTGTGTGGATCCACATACTTCGTAAACGCCGGTAAGCAAACAAGTTTTGTTTCAGTGACAAGTATGGACTTAGCTTGTTTGATGTGTTTTTTTCCACTTATTATGCCCAGTTCAGATTTAATCACTTAAAACTCTAACTCTGGCAAAATATTCTATGCTTAATGTATCTTCTAGTTTAAAACCAAGTACTTTCATCAGTGCCACTGTTGCAGACCATTGTTGTAAAGTTGTTAAGAGATTGTATGTAGTGTATGTCTTATAGATACGTTGTGGCAGAAATTAAACAAGAGGTTCCTGTAGTTGGAAAAAGGAGAATGCTGTTTGAAAGTAAATTAAAAGAAAAAAAGGTTCAATTTTCTTTGTGTGGGGAATGGCAGACAATAATTTTGATTATGGTCAAAAGCGATAGGAAAGCCGTGCTTCTTGGTAGTTAACATGGTATCAGAAGCCAGGAGCAGCTTAAACCCTTGTACTTAGTTTGAAGTTCACGTGGTGATCTGATTGTTTGGTAATCTGAAGTTCTTTTGGTGGTCTCATTATTTAGTGAAGTTCATCTGGTGATGTGATATAGTGACTTGGGGTTGGGCTGGGTGATATCTGTTTGAGTAGTGGTTAGTAATTATCTGACTGTTATGATCTGTACATGCAAGATATCCCTGTGAATTGCTGTCTTCCAACCCAAGGATTAAAAAAGTAGTAGAATGTAGTTAAAATATTGTTCAGCATGCTGTAAAAGTTTGGACTGCAGCATTAAGAGAATGACTTTATGCTAATAGTCAGCTCTATCTGGGAGATAATGTTTGACATTTATAGATGATGAAGAAATATCCTTGCAGAAACAAAAACTTAACTGCTGGCTTTTAACTGATACTTTTTTCTTCCCAGAAATGACGTCTTTAAGATTCACTGGCTAATGGCAGCCCTCCCTTTCACAAAATCGCTGTCCTTAGTCTTCCATGCAGTACGTATAGATTCTCTGCCTTAAGCTGTTCAGCTGGGAATTAGAAATATGAGATCCAGGGTATGCTGTTAGAGGAATTTGTGTTGAGGGGGGAGAAGAGTAGGAGGGAAGGGGGAGAGAAGTGTCTTTCAAATTGAAATGTTGGTACTGAACTGCAGCTGTGTGGTGGAGGAGATTCAATTTTCATCAGCAAATTGTGACTTTAAATACAATTGGGAACATGGCCTGATGTGGGGAAGCAGCAAGCATGTATGTGAGGCTTGAATGAGTTCCATGAATTCTGATGTCTCAGCCATCTGAGGCTGGCCTGGAAGCTTGAGCAATGGTACTGCTCCAGCAATATGGCTTACAATAAATGTTAATGAATGGGAACCTTGATGTTTGTAGAATTGAGAGGTGCTGCTTTAGCTGGCACAGTGTGCTGTACCATAGCAAACATAATATTATAAGCTTTAACGCATTCATTACATGAAGTCTCTATTGTATTGTCTTGACTTTGCCTTTCCACTGTAAGATATCATTAATGAAGGTAATGACAAGCATTTAATCCTCCTGTTTGTGCCAGTTTTGATCTTCTCCATCAAGTTCATGCTAGGATAACACCTACAAAAACCTGGAATCAGCAGGTTTGAATCTGATTTCCAATGAAAGTAAAATTAAAAAGTGTCTAGTTCCCTAATACAACTGAACTTGAACGATGGCGATAGAAATGCAGTTGTTTGACTGTAGTTAGACGTGAAGGCTGTGTAGGAAGACTGTAGGTTGTGTAAAGTATATTCACTAATGCTTAGGGAACAGTGAATGGGGATGACCTTGATGACACTAAATAATACTAAAATGTTGGGAGCAAGCTTTATCTAAATTATGAGTTTGTATACACTGAAAATGAAACTTGAGATGCCTTTTAAAGCAGACCTGTTTTATGGCCATGGGTGGGGTGATGAAAGTCTTATAAAGTATCATTGTTTTCTGCTTTCAGATCGACTACCACTACATCTCTTCTCAGGGATTTCCTATTGAAGGCTGGGCTGTTGTCTATTACATCACTCACCTGTAAGTATATCGGAAGATTTGGTAAATTAAGTGGTGAAAATGAATTCCCCTTCTCTCCCAGGAAACCTGGGAATTGCTAATTCTTGATGCTGAGCTCTGAGTGACAAGACAGCAGTGAGCCCAGTATAAAGGGGAAAACTGCTTGCAGAGGACAGCTGCAGAGAATTGGTACTTATGTGGGCGGAGGAGTAGAAGGAAAAGAAATGCTTTGCTCTTCTTTGTTCATGTTAATATTCAAGTATCTAATTTGCTTTTGGTGTGAATAGTAAGAGGATGCAGCTGCCAGTGTTTTCTCCTGTTCATGGTGGTAGATGGATGATTCCCCCAGGAAAAGATTGCATATATTGGTGGTTGTGAATGAAGGGTAATGTTGCTGTGTAATGCATGGTTGTAAGCAAGGCATCTGTTTGCTGATGTAGGATAAGCATTTGCTAGAGTTATGAATAGCAAGGCTATTTATTTGGGTTTGTGGCTTTACTGACTGTAGAAGAGATGACCTGGGCTGAAGAGGAAGTATAAAATATCTTCTTGCATTATCTGCTTCTCTTTCAGATTTAAGGGTGCTCTTCTATTCATCACTATTGCCCTCATTGGAACAGGCTGGGCTTTCATTAAACACATCCTTTCAGATAAAGACAAAAAAATTTTCATGATTGTCATCCCGCTTCAGGTGAGGACTGAGCTGTGTCAATACTTACTGTATTTTGGGAGAGCAGCTTGTGGAAACTGTAACAGGCTGTGAATCCTACACAGAATATAAATTACTGCTTGTATACGCCTGTGAGCTGAGTTATGATTTCTTTGAAGCTGTTAAAGGGACAGAAGTTATGTAACTTTCCCAACTTTTCTCTTTATATCAAGTATTAGATAATGGTTATCAAATAATATCAGCAAGCAAACAAGTAACTGTAATGTAGGTTTAGTCATGCTGGGACAAACTTGGGCTGCAAAGCAATATTAAATTACCAAACACAGAAATTAGATGAAAGTTATCACTTCTCAGAAGTTTGCTGGAGTGGGCTTAAGGAAAGGGGAGCACTGAAATTTGTGTGGTCCCTTGGGTCTGATCTCTCTCTCTCCAGTATGTTCAAAGCAGTTGGTGTTTGTCTCCTGAAGTAAATAGGATGGCAGCATTTCTATTTGCTGTTGTAGATAGAAAACGACCTTTCAGCTTTTGGGGATGTGATCTGTTGCCCAGCTGCAAAATGTACTTTCTGAGGTTCTTTTAGAACTTGGGTATGGAGTACAAAATGTTGTGAATGACCAGTTTGAATTACTGGCTAGATTTAGAATAGCATGGTTAGGCTGTTTGCTATCTGTGTGCAGAGTGCTGTTTTGTATTTGCAATCAATTTTTATTCTGTTGTCTTTACTGAAACCATAGGTTCAGCATAGTATGCAACAAAAAGGGCACCTTCTGAATGTCAGCAGAAATGCATTCCAATCAATTATATTTCTGTAGATCCTGTGCAGGTCTTTTGAATGTGTGATTTTTGACATAGATCTGCAGGAGAAAAATTGAAGTTATTGAATGGGTTCTTTCTGCAACTGTAGGATAGCTTTTGCTGAATTTGCAGCCCACATCTAATCTAATCTTGGAAAGCTTCTGAAACCATTACCCACCTTTCGTCCTGTAGGTGCTAGCAAATGTGGCATACATTATTATAGAGTCAACAGAAGAGGGAACAACCGAATATGGACTATGGAAAGAAATCCTTTTCCTGGTAGACTTGCTGTGTTGTGGTGCCATCTTATTTCCAGTGGTATGGTGAGTTGTTGTGTGTGATCATTTCTGAGTACTGATGCCCTGAGCTGTTTCTCAACTAATGTGTATTGATGTTACAGGTTAAGAGGCTGCTGAAGCAGAGAAGTAAATGTCTGTCCTTTAAGTCAAGTCGTCTTTTAGTTTCTTAAACTGTATCAGCCTTAGCACTTCAGTATTGTGGAAGATGCTTGCTTTAGAAATGTTCAAGTGGGGGGCATTTTAAAAGCATGGCCAGGACAGTGCAAACAGACTGTAGATGTCTTTGAAACTTAAAATATTTCTGAAGTGCTGATTCTCTTATGCTGAAAAATGGGGTTTTGTTAGTGACTGGGGATGGAAAGCAGGCTGCTAAATTCAAAACCAGTGGTGTTGTCTGAGGTCAAAGCTTCTTTCAGCCAGAGTAGCACTGCATATTTACTTGGCTGTTTAGAAGAAATAATCCCACAGGGAGCATTTCCCTGCCCTTCCTTCCACTCTACTTGGCATTGAAAAATGTTGGTTATGTAAAACTCAACCAAGACACAGATAATTCAGATAAATGCTATTGTTGCTGCTTGCCAGTTAGGCAGAACATTTATATTCTAAATTCATTTTAGTCTTAATTGAAAAAACAGCTGCATCTAAAGGAGGATTTGAAGGAGCTTCTGGCTTCTCAGTTTTAAACACAGAATATTCTAATTTTTTTTCAAGTATCTCCAGCATTTTTCCTGAAATGCAGAAGTATGTCTGTCTAGTAAACATGTCTTCACTCCATAGTGTGCAGCTCTTGAGTGTTTTGGAAAAGTATTTCATAATGTGTGTTACTTTGTGGATGCAAGTAAGCTCCACTGTGGCTTGCTAGGGTGTGTTTCAACTGCACTTATCTTCCCAGATCTGTGTAAGGACCAAACCCAACAGCCTTAGTGGCCTTGTGCCAATGCAAGTGAATGTCTTCCAAGAAATTTGCACAGCCCACTTGACACTCCCCCACTCCAGTCAAAATGCTGCAGCTCTTCTGAGGATGACAGCATTTGGGTGTGGTAAATAAAACTACAGGAATACTAACTTTCATTACAGAGATTCTGATTACCTATGGTTAAGGGAACTTTTTCAGTCACAGCTCTTGCTATATAATGCCAGAATCAGTAGTTCTGCATAGTGACATGCTAGTACAAAACTTGCATTTGTTGTTCAGATGTGGTTTTGTAATGGAAAGTGTTCGAATGAACTGTCCTGTAACTGTTTATATAGAGTACAGCCTGTGTTCCTCCATTGTCATGGTACCAACATAAACTGGCAGTGAAACCTAGGGCATAATTCTGCCCCTTTTTCATCTGTGTAGTCTCACTGCCTCTGGTGGAATGAATCATGCGAGTAAGGTGACTAAGCCTTGGCCATTGAATTTCCATTTCTGCAGGGTAGCTTCTGTTACATAAGTAGCCTGTGTAGCCATGTAAGCTGTAATCAACTATTTAAATGAAAAGAGCTTAAAAGAGCAGTGAGGTGCCAAATGCTTGGCAGTACTCTGAATAGTACTGCTCAGCTTACTTGTACAAGTGGTAAGCATTATGCTGGGAAATGCCCCAGTTTCTCATTCTGCTCTGTCCCAGCTTTCTGTAGGCTGAAGTAGGCTCTAGCAGTTTAGATTTCTTAATCATGAGGAGATGCAGATATTTGAACTAACTGCTTGGGATGGGGATGAAATATATGCAGTGCCACGCATGCTGAGGCACAGTTAATCATGAGTATGGCCCAGACATAAAGAGCTAATAGAACTGTTAGAGTTCTGGAGGGCTGCAGTGAAAAGAGCTTATTTTACTTCTTAATTTTTCAGGTCAATAAGACATTTACAGGAGGCTTCAGCAACAGATGGAAAAGGCAAGTAGCAGTAATTTTCTTACTGTTCTGTGCTACGTACCAGAAGATCGTGCCAAAATTTCAAACATGATGCTGATTTTTAAAATATATAAACTAGAGCTGTAAGCCTATTCTGTTGTTGTTACATTGCTACGTTTCCTTTGTGGTCTTCTAGGTTATTCCTTTTGGGAAATGCTCTTTTTCATGCATTGTTTCAACAATTCATATCTGAAATTCATTTGCAGGTATCTGCACAGCCCCAAATGCTCAGGTTAGACACTGTATCTAGAGGAAATCATCTGACAGCTTTTACCTTATGCTTAGACTTGAGTTCAGGAGCAATCTAGAAGTGTGCTCTAGAATTGGTGTATATTTTGACTGGTAGCCTAACTTAAATATTGTCAGAAGTCTGTTCCTACCTGGATAGAGGGAAATAACCTTAGCAGGAACCAAAACATAAATTGGCATTGGATGTAACAGTTTTCATCTCGTCTGTGTTTGTACAGCAGTTCCAAGGGCTGCCTGTATAAAGTCAAGTTATGTTTATTGTAGCATTGAAAGTGAGATGATGGATGGAAAGTCAACCTAAATATGGCTTTTGTAATGTTTGCTTTTCCTGCTTTGTCCTCTCACTTTTTCCAAATAAGTTCCTCAGTTGGCTGTAGATTCAAGCCATGGAACATAGCATTGGCTTCCTTGGAAGCAGGCAGCCACTTCAGTATTCTGTCATTTGATGCTCACTGAGTATATATGTCTTCTGGAATCTTTCTGCATTTACAAGTCTGCTTCAGTTTAGACCGTCTTTGAAGCAATGACTTAGTCAGTTGAGGGCTTTTTGTAAATAGTGCCAGGTTCTTAGCTGGTGTGTATCAGTGTTCCTGTGAAGAAGGCAGAGTTCCTGCTCTCAGTGGAGTCAGCAGCTGCTCCAGTGCTGAGAGCTCTGGGGCTTGTGCATAGAACTGAGATGGAAGACTATTAGATCTACCCGAAGGTGATTAGCCTGTGCTTACCTTGCACTTGTTGGTTTGTATCACAAGATGGTGCTATGGAGTTGGATTGATTAACCTTAAAACACTGAATGAAGGATAAAAGTAAGGTGGTGAACATCAAAGATGTTCAACATAAGGACTTCTGACCTGTCTGTCCATCATAGTGACAGGTGGAGTCCTGATCTGAGTAGTAACATTGTTGTTGGCTTTTTATTCTGAAAGATTTACTTCCATTATGCACTACAACAAGAGTGTAGTGATCTGAGAAGTGCTTACATCCTTATAGCTAGTCAGTGATGTACACAGTAGCTCCTCCAACTGTCCCTTAGACCTCTGTCTTGTATCACTGGTACACACATGCAGCAGTGTTCTTCACACTGAGTGTTGTGTGAGCCACCTGCTGCTGTAACTACATTTCATTGTAGGGATTCTGCAAATTCAGTGATTGTGTGTTGAGACTGCACAGCATAAGGAAGTGGTGAGTCTAATAATAAGGGAAGAGTTAAGAAAAAAATTTCAGGGAAAACATTGCATAGGCTTGCACCAGATTGTATCTAGCACCCCCACGGGGATGAGGCTCTCATCAGATGTTAAGATATTTAGAGGTGGTTGACAGAAGTCCATGGGGAGTGTTACCTGATGGTGTCATGCTGCTAATGTGCCTGGTGAGGAAATTAAAGATGATTTGGTTGTGCTGTAAGTAAGGCAGAATCATTCACAGGCTTATAAATGAACCATCCTGACTGGAACCACATGCTCTTTACTCTGCAGGCTTCCCTTGGAGGCAGTATTCTGCAGGGGTGCTGCTCAGTCTCTTGCCTTCTCAAGAAACATCGCCAGCACTAACTCTGAATTTACCAAATGAAGGCAGTTTTCTCCTTAAGTGGTGAAAGCTACTGAATCCTTTCATATGCAGTCTAGCTGCTGCTCTGTCTATCCATGCTGAGAGCTATCTGAATCTTGTGCAGAGTTCTGGTCAGGCTGCCTATTGCTAGCTGAGATTTATTGTCTGGTGTTACCTCAGAGGCTGTTTTCCCTGTTTCTCTTGCACAGACTTCATTATCTCAGAGGGTGTCTTGGGGAATTATATCCTATAAATTCAATAGCTGTTTTTCCTGTCTCTGGGTCTTCTGGTGACCTTTTTCCTGGTGAGAAGGTCCAAAGGAAAACTATTTTCACTTCCTGTGTCCTTTAGAACTAACTACTCCAGGACTTTGTGGCTCAGGCTCCTGCTAATGTTCCTGACTGTTTGTCTGTCTTGTTGTCCTCTTCCAGCTACTTCACAACCTGTTATTAGATAGTGCTCCCTTGGGTCGAGTGCAGTCGTGACTGCAGTCTGACTAGAATAGAAATAAAGTAGAAAGCTGGCCTGACTACGAGTCTTCAATCTGTTAGAGCTGTGCCTGCTATAGGGTTTTATTTTAACAATCTGCAGTTATATAAAAGGCTTGTTAAACTGCTGGTGATTTGAAGTCACTGGCTAATGTTCACTTAAACTTGTTTTTTTTTAATTATTTTTTGAAGTGGGAGAGCTAGAGAAATATGTCTAAAGGTATGACTTATCCAAGAAGATAAGCACAAGATGTTATGGGTTGCTGGTGAGGAGTAGGCATGGCACAGTCATACAGCTGGCTCTGAGCTGCCTTGGTGTTTTGTTTTTTTTTTTTGTTTGAAGGTGATCTTTAACTCTGAAGCAAAATACTTGATGTACACAGGCTTCTTATCCTGTATGGTGGTGGGTATTAAAAAAAAAAATACAACCCCTTTTTTCTTCCTTGTTTAAAATCACCATCTTAAGCAAGTGCCTAGCTACAGCCCTTCTGGTCTGTCACTGCATTTTTCAGAAGGAGCTTGCTGTCTGTCCACTTCTTCATCTACCTTGTGGATGCCTTCTTGCAGATGGAAGGAGGTGAGCCTTGCTGACTGAGTTAAGGTTGTTTGGGCTGGAAGTCTGCTTAACTATCACTACCTTGTTCAGAGGCATTGTTAGAAGAGGAGGAGAAAGGACTGTTGTTGGAAGATTCCTTATTTTTGTTCAGAACTCAAAGATCTTACTGGGCCTCTCAAGTCTCATAACCCACTCTTACCTGACATCTGTTGTTTGAGAATGGACAGAGGGCTGGAAACACCACTGCAGCTTTTGTTCTGCCAGTACCTCTGTGTGTTAAGAGATGTGAAGCTTGGTGCAGTCTGATCACGAACAGTTAGCTATTTTCCAGAAGCACTGCAGCATGTCACAGTTGGCAGCAGTACTAGGGGAAATACATTGCAGTGTATAGCTCCCAGGCAACATTCCCTGTGTGCTGTGCAGTGGGCAAATGATTAATGCTTCCATGCTTGTTCCCATGTCAGGAAGAACCTTTTGCCATATTCAGCATCATTCTGCTTCTGTACCATGAAAAAGCTGTGAACAAAGCGCTCTGTCCTGAGTGGTGCAGAACATCCTGGCTTAGCTGAGCTCAGCAGGTGTTGGAAGCAATGACTCCAGAGACCTGAGCTTAATAACACCTCTGCAGTTCTCTAGAGAGAAGGAGGGCCTAGTGGCTGGGTAAACATGCTCCAGGCAGTACACAGACATATCAAAACCCTGAGATAAAGTGTAGTGATTTCAGTCTCGAGACCTCAGTGGATAGCACAGAAGAGCTGAAAAATGCTTAGAAATGAAATGGGCTTGTTGTGTTCCTGGGTTGAAATAGCAGTTACGTGTTGCAGACATTGCTTATCCTGTAGTGTGGAATCTCTTCTGAGTGTGATGGGGAACTTCTGTGCCAAATGGCTAATGTGTTTCAGAATATTCAAGATTAACTAGTCTGTGCCACCTTCACTGGTATGACACTGAGAGTTACTGTATCTGTATGCTTAACCTCTTCTTTCTGATGTAGGAATGCTTTTAAGCAGAGTGCCATAGAGATTATAAGGCCATACATCTCAGAGTTACTCCTGGAGTAGCTTTTTCAGGTCTAAATCTGCCTGTGTGACTTCATTCATGGGGAGCAGGAGGGGACAGAAAACTTCCATTTAGTATTTGGCAACGACATAGCATCTGAAATACATGAGTTACTATACCGTGCAGTGCACTATGGAAACATTCTTATTTGTACTTTGTGTTTGCTCTAGATGCTTTGTATTTTGTCCTTGCATTCTGTATTGTCTGAATTTGAGCTTCCTATTCTCCCATCTGCAGTCCTCTTACTGTTATGACATACATATTCTGAAAAGTTGCTTATTACTCTTCAAAAAGCTATTGTGTACTGTGCAGGGCTATAGTGGTCTGACTTTCATCTTCCCCCCATCTTACAGGCTGCTTCAGCATTTGAAATTAGCATAGAGAGTAATCTGAAACAGTGACTGATTTCCAAAACTCGACAGTGTGTTTTTTTGTTGTTTTTTTTTAAATGCAGATCAGGCTATTGCAGGCACAAGCTGTTAAAGTAAATGGTGATGAAGAGGGGAAAGTGAGAGAAAAGCAGGGCATAGGTGTTATAAACCTTTCTTGGAAGATTGCTTTTATCTTAATTAGTCTGTGAAAGCAGTGGAACACAAGTATGAATTTATTTGTAAAACCTTTGGTAGAGAGTCTCTTTTATTCTTTTTCTACTCTGCAGTTAAGTACTGTTCCTTGAAGAATGGTTATCATACTCGAAACATAAATTTACCCAGCCTTTACTGCATGCTGTGATTGCTGCTGCTTTATCACAGCTTCACAGGTTGGGACTGCAAGTGATTAAAGTTGTAAGTGACAGCTGCTGGCCTAACCTCTCTCCTGTGTGTTGCTGTTGATGTCTGTACTGCCAGGCTAGGTGAGCCTAAGTCTCAAAGTGTCCAGCATAGCAAGACTCGAGTGTTACTGCTTGGAACACCTTCAGCCTGTGAAAAAGCTATTTGCAGGCTGCTGATGCCAAGCAGTGATGATTTTAGACTTCTTCCAGAACAGTATGTGCTGTGACTTTGAGCTGTTCAGATAAACTGGCATAGCTGTGCATTAATACTGACTCCAGTGTCTGACAGTGGAGAGGAGTATTTCTGAAGTTGAGATGACTTCTGGAGAGCACCTAGCTGTGGTAACCAAGCAAGCTGGCTTCCACAGGTGGCTTTTCAGTATTTTTACTGGTTTTTTTAATCTATTTTTTTCTCTTGTCCCTTTTTTCCCCATGCTCAACTCTTCCAGTTATCTAGTTGTAATGCTGATTATTATGATATTGATTATCATGATGCATAGGTGAGATCTTGAGCTGTGTTTTATCTGTTGAGAGAGAGGTGCTTCCAGTACTTCAGCTGGCAGCCAGATCTTTGGCATCACTATCCTTTCCTCCTATGCACTGCCTGAACAGAAATGACTCCCCAGCTCACTCAGTTGTTGACTGTAAAGCACTGATGGACTGGCAGTTTGAATCACAGCTGTTGAGTTGGTGTTCCTGTAACTACAAAGCCTGGGAATTCTTGTGGCCTGTCACTGCACCAGTTGGTAGCAGTTCTTGAAGATGGATATGTTGAGTTGAAAATAGATCTTTCTGCACAAAGCAATACGTGGTGAATCACAAGATCTTCATGATCACACTTAATGTAGTTCTTTAAATAGGACAGCATTGCTTCATGATTTAATGAGTTTGTCCTGCAAATTTTCATGTTTTAATCTTTCTCCAAGTGTGTTATGGAAAGCTTTTAATATTGAGCTATCTAGTCAACAACTATACCCATGAAAACCCATGCTTTTTTGGTATTTAAATGTGCTTTTGTGAGGAGATCATGTTCTGGGGCAGTTGCAGGTCTGTGCATCTATTGCACAGCGAAGTGCTCTTTGTACTTTACAGATGTAAGGCTGGAGCTTGAGCACTGCTTTCTGCAGTCCAGAGTTCTGTATTGCAGAGTTGATGCTATTCTATGGTGTTTCATATGCAGTTCACAAAGAAGTGCATAGCAGTATTTTCCAGTTAGCAACATATCTTCATTGGCTCTAAATTGCATCTCTGTATGCTGTCAGCCTATCTTGGGCTCTTTGCCTCTCCTGTTGTCACAAAAGCACCAGAAGTCTGCATCTGTTATCCTGCTGCACCTATAAAACCTGACTCTCAAACTGGAGCTGACAGCTGTTCCATCTGTTGTTGACCTCTGCTCATTCACGTGAATACGTGCCGTGTTCCTCAAGAGCTGATGTAATCTGTCCAGTAAATGCAGGTTAGCCTGGGGCCTTCGCTTACATGGTTTGTGATTGAAACACATGCATTTGCAGTGTGATTAGTGTGACTTCCCATTTCACTTATAAATTATGACTGAGCCATGAGTGACAGAGAGTACAGCTTAGGTGTTGAGCAGCAGCGGAAGCATTTTAACAAGATGCAGTGATTCTCAGATCCAGGACTGCCTCCTAGAAAATTCATCCTCTGTGGAGTATTTCCTGACATGATCCATGCCTTCAGCTGATCTGAGCGACTCTGAGGTAGTGTCAGGTGGCACAGCCCTTGTGGCAGGACTAAAACAACAGTATGTAGTTGGCTACAGACAGATGAGCATTGGAGGAAGGCTCTATACTCTAGTGTGTGCGTACGTGTGACACTTAGTGATCCATGAATTGCCTCTGTAAGAGGTTGACTGCCCCAGCCTAGGGATTATCCAATATGTTGTCAACCCAGAATAGCACTCCTTAGAGCAACCAGCAAGCTGTGGGGAGAAAGCTTTAAATCTGGAAGTACTCAAGTCCTAATTTTGATTGCTTGCCTATCTTGTAGACAAGCACCAAGAAAAACACTCTGAATTAACTTTTTGATGGATTTTTGTGTTTTCTTGACAGCTGCCATTAACCTAGCAAAGCTGAAGCTTTTCAGGCATTACTATGTAATGGTAAGTTTAAAACAAAACAAACAAAAGAAAAAAACATACAAGCAAAACCCAACCAAACAAATCCAGCAGCCGTGTAGCTATGCATACAGAGCACTTGGAAGCCATTCCAGCTTTTTGCTAGATTACTTGTTTGAAGCTGCTATAACTCATGAATGGGGTGGAAATGTTGACAGTTCTGTGGCAGTGCTGTGCTTTGGCATCGTAGCCAACTGGGTTACAGACCTCAAAGCAACTTCCCTTCTTTTCCAAGTAGTTGCATCCTTCTATCTTTTAAACTGGTTCCAGCTATCTGTAATGCTTACTAATTTCCTCTGGAGACAGCTCGAGCTGCCAGTTGAATTGATGGGCTTGAATAAAGTACAATAAACTTGGTAAAAACCAAACTTGGGAGCAAATGGTGCCTTGAGATGCATGCATACAGCTTCTTATTAAGTCAGTGGGAGCCTTGAGCATACCTCCCAAGAGAGTATATCCTCCTTAATGATTTCCAGTGGTCTCATTTCAGGCTCTAGGAAACATTAAGAGTAATACATTACAGTACTGATTCTTGAATTCTACAAAATCCAAATGCTTAAAGCATTTTCCTGCTGTAACTTAAATATGTTAGTAGCAGCTTGAGTCATTTGGATGTTCAACAAACTGCAGAGCCCTCAGCTTATATCTTCCTTGTTTATCGAGGGAGCATAATAGGGCTAATCTGACATAATGAGGTGTCTGGGAACTGCTTAAGCTATTTCTCTGGAAAAATAGGTTCAGTCAGGATGATGCTATTGTTCTCACTCACAGATTGTGTGTTTCCTTCCCACAGATTGTGTGTTACATTTACTTCACACAAATCATTGCAATTCTCATAAAGATTGCTGTTCCATTCCAGTGGAAATGGCTGTACCAGGTATTTGTCAATAATGGAAAATACATCCATCCCTTTATTTTATTTTTTCTTATTAATCTGTAAAAATAAGCACACCAAACCAAATCCTTAAATTGTTTTTCATGTCGTGGTAGAACATGTCAAAGCTCAATGATGCATTCTGCTTCTCCTCATTGATATCACCGATCATTCCTGGTGGCAGGAGTGGATTTTTTTTAGTTCTGTTTGACCAGCAAGACTGCTGGATTATACATGAGATGTCTGAAAGTAATTGCTTTATTGATTTTAGTCTTTCAATTTAAAATTGTCTGAAGGAAATTAATCAAGAACATAGAAGAGAAAAAAAAAAATACTCAGGTTTGCCCTGTGTAATTGAGGCCCTGGGGAGCCAGTGAAATAGACTTTCGCTTTTCCATTTACAGGCTTTATTTGCCTAGTGACTTTTAAATACTTGGTTTCTTAACATATAATCCAAGTAACTGTGCAGGTTGTCTTTGGAATATATTAACTGTTGAAAATACCAAACAACTTCAGGATTTTTTTTTTCTTGGCTTTTAAGTCTTGCTGAACATCACTGGAGTGATGTCTAGGGTTGTAACTGGATTTAAAGAGATGGGGAAGTTTAAAAGAAGAAAGAGCTTGACAGCCCTTAGCCTGGGATTAATGATAACAGAATAAAAATGGCTTTTTTATTTCTGCTATGACACAGGCTTCTTGGCCATTCAATCTTGAACCTTATGAGCGAGGAGAAATGTTTTATGACCATGAAGAATTACAGGACTGAATTTCAATCTTGTGTCTTACTTGCAGCTGCTGAATGAAATGGCCACGCTGGTGTTCTTTGTCCTCACTGGGTACAAGTTCCGTCCAGCATCAGATAACCCTTACCTGCAGCTTTCTCAAGATGATGAGGATGATTTGGAGATGGAAGCTGTGTAAGAACCTCCTTTTACTACCTCCTCCTTTTACTGCTGAATGTAAATGAGCATGATGTAAGGCCACTTTGGCTTTGAGTTCAATCTAAAGATCTGCAAAAACTTATTTAAGTAACACTGCTGAGGAGATGGGGATTTTTAGCAATTCTCCTCAGTGTTCCATTTAATGCTACAAACCATGAGGCACCACAAATGCAGTAGGACCGAGTTAGTGAGGAATAAACTACAAAGTGGGACTCAACATAATCCCTGTCATTTCTATTGCAGTCATTTTCTGAGGACTTACTCAAAAACTTTTTTTTTATTTAATAGAAACTGCCCTGAGAAATGCAGCGTACTGGAAGTGTTGAGTATAGTTATAATTACCACACCATTACCTCAATAAGAACAGAACCAGCCTAATCTCATAGTAGTTATGCATTTCATGCATAATTGCAATTCGCATTCAGACTCAGAAGTCTGTTCTTGAGAGTTTCATTTCAGCTTTGCAAGTATCCTTTACCTGATTTTGAGTAGAATATCTCAACACTCCTCTTGTTTTTATTGCAGGGGCAAAAGAGTCAGAATGTGTTTGCTGCCCTCATAGTTAGTTCAGCAAGAAGTGGAGCTTACTGGGGAATTGCTACAGGGATAGGTTTGTGAGGTGGGATCTGCTTGCAGTGTCATGCAGGGACCTTTAATTCTCTGAAATGTCTCTAGTAACAGATCTTATTGCCAAATGCTTAGTTATTTTTGTATTCGGTCCATAAAAATCTGTCTTTGTTAAAAGCTGAATCCAAGTAGTAGGCAGTGACTGTAAAATTATTTAATGCTTGAAGGTGTTAAAATGGTTTCAGTTTAGGTGCTGGTAAGCAAATGTCCGCATTAGGAAGTCTCAGTCTAAACTGAAAGATGTGCAGGATTTCTTATTGTCCAGAAACGAGCTCCCCCAAGATTGCCTGTTAAACTGAAATCAAACTTTACATTGTGTATTTAATGGGTTTTTACTTGTTTGGGTATTTTTTTTAGTCCTAATAATAAGCAACCTTGCACATGCAGTGGTTTCACTGGATTGGAGACATTATCCAATTTCAGAGGGACTGCCAGGAGCAAGCCTAAAGAAGTTTAGTGAACGAATGGAGTGATTTATTTCTTGCAGTAGGGGGGTGCAGATGTTACTTGAGGATAGAATTCTCTGTGAGCCTCTTCCTAGTAAGGCGTTTTGTGCTTTTACATTTGGAGTTTCCACTGTTGTGCCTTGTGGGTTGTTCCCTTAGCCTTGCTGCAATTGTTCTCATCTGATTCACTGTGAGTTTTATTCCATGTGGGCACTTGGCAGAGCATGATCTCTAAGTGTCTTGTGCTCTCTCCCCTGGCTGCATCAGGGAGGTTAAGTTTACATGTGTTTGAAAAGCATGGTTTACACACCTGCTCTAATAAATGAAGCACTGCAGTGCAAGTGTATTAAATTTCTTGTTGATTTGATCTTGCTGGTCTTATTTTTGCTTTTATAAATATTAAATGTTGTTTCTGTAGGGAAAAAACATCAAGGCTTTATTTGAGCAAGTGACTAAGTGCCTGACTGCATCCTGAGTAACCACTGTATGAGTGTTTTGTCTTTCATGTGATAAATACTGACTTGTCTTCATGGTGTTCTGCCATGTCTTCTTTCCAGACATTATGGTGGTGGGTTTTTTCTTACTTAATTTTTTAATCTTTTTTTTTTTAAACACTTGCTGCAAAAACATTTAGCTACTTGAGACTCAAGATAGGCAACAGAGGGGAGAGCTCAAAGGTCACCGTGCCTGATTTCCAGACTTGCTCTTCTTCCAGCAAGAAGATCCTTTTAAGTGCAGCTCTCTAGTTTAATGCCAGTTTTCGTGCAATGCAAACTATACAAAGCTCTGTCTGGCAGGAAATGTAAATATTGCAAAGGACAGTGTTGCAATCTGCAGGGTTTAAAAAAAATAAAATCTGAGGACTAAGTGCCTGTGACGGATATAATGTGGGGCACAAATCTTCCCTCTATAGTAGCATTTGAAAATATTTTATAAATAAAGAGCAGTGAAGGTGACTTACAAAGGATTTCAAAGTTGATTTTTTTTTTTTTCCCTTCCAACTAATGTTCTGTATTTTGGGAGAAAGCATCCACAAATGTTACAGGACTTTCCTTTCAATTATACCAGGCTCAATAGAAGCTGCCCTGGTGGAGAAGAGAGGATGACTAAACCTCAACTAAGGACCGGTCTGTTCTTTTTCAAGTAGGGTCAATAGCCATTCATCATCAACAAAGTGCCTTTCTGTGTATTCTGTGTTGGGCAGCCTCTCGAGCCTGTTCTGTCAGTATGTGGGCTTGTTGCTGACAGTTTGTTAGACTAAAGTACTCTGTCTGAAAAGGTGCAGCCACACTTGGCAGAAACAGTTGTCAGGCTTCCAGTCCTAATGCCATTTCTGGGACATGGACACACAAAAAAATTAACTGTACAGTAGATGAAGTGGGGTGAGGAAGGGGAGAGGAAGCAGTTCTGTGCTTCTTTTTATACTCTTGCAGTAAGGTATTTCATTAGCTGAATAATCACTGCTTTAGATGTTAGGCACCAAAGAGCTCTTCTGCAATCTGAGTTGAGATCATGTTTGTAAATGTGTGTGGGGTTAAGATATTTCCACTGAATGAGGGATTGCAGGGGTAACTGCTGATGCTCAACTGAGTAAATTCATTTTTCTGAGCGCATGGAGACTTGGCATTTTCTTAACACCCCAAACAGCCTCAACATAGTGAACCATTGTGGTAATGCTGACCTACCTTTGCTTATGCCCTGGGATCTGGAGTTTCTCCCTGTGTCATGAGACAGCCTGTTCTGTGCGGAGACTTGAAGTCCTGATGGGTTGCTTTGCTCTGCCTTGTCTCTGTTTGTGCTTTATGGCAGACTGATACATGATGTTCTTTGTTGGAAGTGATTCTCCTTCCCTCTGACAGCCACAGAAGTTCTCTCTGAAGAGATGGGTTAGTGGGAAGGGTTTGTTGCATTTTAGCAATGACTGAAATGCAGAAATGCAATTCAGCAAAGTGTTCAGTTGGGGAATGCTTCCTTGCAGTATTGCAGGTCAGAGCAGAAGTCCTGAGACTGCTCAGAGCATTAGAATGAGAATTGCAGTGATCTTGACCATAGTGCTGTTACCTTTACTTCATGGGCTTTGGAACACGTTGTCTGGACTAATTTTGAGAGGGAAGAGAATTTCCCATTGCATGTGAGCAGTCAGACAAAATCAGGCCTTAAAATCTGCACTGCTCACTTGTCATAAGACAGGAACAGCACTAAGCAGCTGAGCAGCCTTTAACTGCTGAGGGATCCACCCTCCCAAAATCTCACTTTCATTATGTATCTGTTTGTGTCATCCCTCCATGAGCATAGGAAATGGGTCATTCCCCTTTGACTGTAACCTCTGATGTTTTGTCATCTTCTTGATACATAACTTTGTAAGTGTGTTAAAGTATACTGCTAAAATCTAGACAGTGTGCCTGGTGGAATCTTACTTGTGAGTCAAGTGTTAGCACTGCTTTGGTGTCATGCATGAGCAAAACATCTATTTATGTGTCCCAGTATGATGCTGTTGAATTGTTTTGGCAGTGGCTCATTTCTTGGTTTGTAGTTCATTGTAATCTTAAGCTCGCCCCTGAAGTATCAACACTTAGTTCCTTATTCTGTATTTATGAAGTCAGTTATTTCTGAAGAGTAAACTTCATAGTTGTTTTTCTGCATTGTCCTGTAATTTTCAGACCATTACTTACTTCAATTTGCCAGAGCCTTCAGTGTTCTAGTCCTGTTCTCAAATATGTGGCTCTTAGTGTCTTCTGCAGATTTAATAAGCAAGTTCTCTATTCCATTACCCAGGCAATTACTGAAAATATTGAGTAGAAGTGAACCCAGGACAGACCTCTCTGGAACCACATTCAGTGTTCTTTCATTTTTGACAGGAAACCATTAAGTACATCTCAATGCATGTTTTTCCAATTAGTTATGCCTCCATGTTGATAGTTTTGTCTAGCTCATGTTTCCCAAGATTTTTCCTATGTGACTGTGGGAAAGCTATTGTAATTGAGGAGAACTTATGAGACCTATCTGTTCTAAAAAGCATGATGTGATCTCTTCCAGGCAAATGTTTACTAATTCCATCTTCTTTAAGCATCCTGTTTTTCTCCCTTTTTTTATTTTGGTAGGGAATAAAATTGCTATTCGATCTACGTTCTTCTGGCCCTTCCTATTCCCTCAAACGCAGACTTATCTAGACCCACTCTGAAGTGTCTTAACCACTGATGGTCCCAGTTGTGTCACCACTAAGAATCACAGGATGTACTGATTTTTGTTTGGGTAAATTATTCTTAGAGTACATAAACAAAAGCTGATACCTAATGTGGGACTAAGGGTGATATCAGAAGAGTGGTTTTGAAGATTACTTCTCCTCCAGGGTAATGCTGCAAAGATGCTGTTAGCTGTTTTGATCAGATATTCTTACATGGTAAACAGCAGGTGAAAGCACGTAAGTACTGACAGCAGCAGAGTCAAACAGGGTGGTTTTATGTATGCTTCCAGGCATCCCTTGTGAATGCACTGTGCTATTGGCACTGTTACTTCCAGCATCCACAACAACCTTTGCAGAACATCTGTAGGAAAAAATACGTGCAGAATGAGAATCATACTGTGCAAAATAATGGAGCAAACGTCTGGTGTGTGTGAATAGCCTGTTTTGTGTGCTCAGAGAGAATATATGGAGTTGAAGAGCTTTTGTTGGATAGCCAGGGTAGTTCTGAGAGTAGTGGTGCTGTTCTAGCTGGATAAACAAATGAGTATGCTTGGTATTAGAACAGTATTACATGGCTTTGTAGTTCACTGGTCAGATTGCCATGACAAATACAGACTTAAAATGGCCTGGGTTGAGAAGGACCACAGTGCTCATCCAGTTTCAACCCCCCTGCTGTGTGCAGGGTTGCCAACCAGCAGACCAGGCTGCCCAGAGCCATATCCAGCCTGGCCTTGAATGCCTGCAGGGATGGGGCATCCACAGCCTCCTTGGGCAACCTGTTCCAGTGCCTCACCACCCTCTGGGTGAAAAACTTCCTCCTAATATCTAACCTAAACCTCCCCTGTCTCAGTTTAAAACCATTCCCCCTTGTCCTATCGCTGTCCTTCACTTGGATTGGTATAACTAGAATGACCTCTCATTTTTTGTTGCTGTTCATTAAGTGGTTTTGCTATTAAAGGAGTTGGTGTGCATTAAGCTAGTAATGATTACTTGTGTCAGCATCTGTGATGTGTGAACTTGTAGAATACATTGTTCCTGTTTAAAAAAACATGTCAAATGCACAAGCAAGTCTAGTGCACAGAGTTAAGGGTGTTCAGCTATATACTAGAAGTTTCCAGGCAAGCTGCTCAAGCTTTAGCATATAAACAGCTGGTGTCAGGGTAACAACCCCATACATCTTCAAATACGAGCAAATACTGTAATGCTTATTCCATTGCAGTGTCTCTAATACTTTCTCAATAGGGTATTCCCTAGCATGAGAGAAATAATTGGATGATCCTGTGGTTTCATATAAGGAAGCTTCCAAGCTGAGTGCTGTATAGATCTTTTCTATTACTAGCCCATCATCATTTCATCTGCTCCACCATAAGAAAGAAGAAGCTTTTTAACTATGGAGCTGCACTCATTCTACTGGTACAAGTGTGCTAAATGTTTGTTTCTGATGCTACATCTAGACACCTAGTCTGAATGGGAAGCTGTGAGCCAGCCTACATTTATCTGTTCTATTTTAATGGCAGATGGGGAGTCATGAGACTCACCACCCATCAGTGGTGTGTCCAGGATGATACCTGGTCTGCAAAATGGTAGCACTAAGAAATAGAGAACATCCAGACTGGTAGATCTGGGTAGAGATATTTAGGAGAAGTGTTATTTGATATGTGCAGGAAAAGCATGGGCTGTTGGTGAAATTGATGTTACAGCTCAAGTTCTCTGCTGACATTTCTTCCTTCTCTTCCAGGGTGACAACTTCTGGAGTAATGGAGGGCATGAAGAAGGTCAAGAAAGTGGTGAATGGTTCAGCAGAGCCACGGGGAGAGTGGGAAAGCACAGCATGATGAACTGGACTAAGGCAGCACTTTCACAGAAACTTTTTTAATTTATTAATATTACTTTCAGTGGAAAGGGAGCATTTAGCACTTCCCAACACTGAAACTGCAGAGTGGGGTGTGTCAAGGGGGAGCAAAGCAGTGCAGAAATCTAACTATTCCTCTGATCATAAAAGAAAAAAAAAGACATCTCTTGGTACCTGCAAGGAGTGTGAAGCTTTCTTAGGGGTTTTGGGCAGCTTATTCTTTTTTCCCCTTTCTGGATCAGTTTGGTATTCTGAATTATTCGCAGTTGCATTCTTCAGAATGTGCAAGTCTAATGTGAAGAGAGACCTTCAGTGTGTATGTAAAAAGTATATATTTTATATAATGCGCATATATATACACACATGCTAAGTAACACGTATGCTGGGAAATGCAATGTGTCACAGGAGGTGGGGAAAAGAAGATGAGATGTAAGTATTCTTTTTATATAAACTCTCCTTTTGGCTTGGACAAAATATTGCGAAGCAAATGAGTTGAAACAACTGCAGTTATTTAAGTGGGCTATTGGATCAGGTGACTTCCTCCAGCCTTCACATCAGTTGGAACGTTGATAAGTGTCTTGTCTAATTTGTGCAGGCTTTTACTTGAATATGTCAGGTTTTCAAATGTATTGCTACGTAGGAAGCAAGCGACTGTTTTCCATTAAAAGCACTAACTTGTAGCACAATAAGTGTTAATGTAGATTCTCCACTGCTAATAGGATTCCCTTGATTCGCACCCACCTGACAAGAAATACACAAGGTGTAGGACTGTTGCCTACTTTTTAGGGATCTGCCGTGCTATCTTAAACATGGAATTTCAAGCCATGACCCAGAGTACTTTGTTCTACATTCTAAAATACTTCCAAGGTTTTTCAGAAGATACTCCCTGGTACAGTGTAAGAGTACCAGAATCTCCAATGGAAATCAAACCAGCAAATGTACTGTGGCGTAAATCTCTGATTCTCCATTGTCCTGAGTTGTTCTGCCTCTCTGGATGGCTACATATACCTCCCAGTCTGTGTAGAACAGTGGCACTGCTCTTTGAGATGAGCTGCACTGGTCGGAATGGTATTGCTGTCAAAACCAGGCAACTGTAACTGCCAGTCATAAGTGGTTTTTATTTTTGTTTTCAGAAAAGGAGTAAATTATGGCTGGAATACACAAGTCTTAACTATCAACTGCAAGTCTGCAGTGTGATCTTTAGAGTCATATTACAAATGCTATGTGTGTTTCATCTCTAGAGTTCTGGTATTGCTAGAAAGGCACATTGGTGCTTGTAGCTGTAGTAGTGAGGCATTGTTAGTTTGTAGGAGGATAGAAGTGGTTCACTGGTGTAACAAGGATGAGTTCTAAGAAAAATAAATCGAGTATAACTCATTGACCCAATGAAGCCTTAATCTTCATGTAGAGCTGCTAAGATGTACCTGTTGAGCAAAGTGCTCCTGTCAGTAACAGGGATAGGCATCTTCACAGAGCTTCAGGTGTGCCAATATCTCTTAAACTCATTTGGGAATTTGCTTTTTTCTTTTTCTCTTTTGACTTGAAGGGACTGCATTTCTGGGGGCATAACTGATGGAAGGACTTCCATGACTGCTTTTTCTCATTCTTTAACTTAAGAAGAGAGCGGGATTTTTATTTTGTGGAGTTGCTGTTTTGTTTGTTGAAATGGTGAACCACTTCTTCCTTAGTCTTCATTGTGGGTTGTAGAGCTTTTAGCCAGAAGTCTGTACCAAGACTGTTTTTCCTGACTGCAACTTCTTTTTCCTGGTCTTCATTTTATTCATTGTGGAAGTAGTAGAAATTAATCTACCTGCTTTGATACCTGGAACTGTTTTCTCTTCAGATAAAGCATAAGAATAACCCTCTTATCTTGTGCAGAGTCCTCTATTTTCCTCCTTGGCTTGTAACTACACAATAATTACAGCAGTGATGGTTTGGCTTTTGCTGTCACTGTTTTGCAAAGATACAGTTCAAGTGAAAACAGAGCCTGTGCCACAAGAAAGGCTGTTACATGATCAGTGAGCCTTCTAGACCTTCTGTATGAAAAGTTCTTTTGCATATTTCGTAGCTGAGACTTGAGAAACTGAACTAGAAACAAACAGAGGCAGCCCTAGCACATCATATGGTTAAATACCTGAAAATTGGATCCTCTCATTCTTTGCACAGTTGCTCTGTCCCTGGGGAAGGATCACTGTCTATATCCAGAGGGCTGCTGAGACAGACTGTGAGCCTTGTTCAGAGTTGTCTGCTGGAGTGATAGGGTCAGTTGGCACAGAGGGATGTAAGAGATGAGCATTTACTATCAGGAGCAGGAGTGCAATAATGCATTGTTGATGTGGACATGATGATGTCTTGGAACCTGGGTTAATGTAATTTCTGAATTAAACTGGAAATTTCTGAATGAAATTGGAAATTCTAATGGGTGTGGCATTTCACTTCCAAAATGTTTGTGGCTGTGCTGGGGTCCTGGTGTGTGCTGAGCTGGTTCAGACAGCTGGCTCTTTGTACTTCATCATCAGTGAATCACTGATAGAACAAATGCTTTTACCTTCAGCTCTGGTTTCTTTTTTTTTTGTTTGCTTTTTTGCTCGAGTTGCATCAAGTGTAGTTATATCCATCAACACCCTGCTTTCCTAGTCAGAGGCCAAAAAATCAGTGACTTCTTTTTGTCTTGGCACAAAAGCTGATGATAGCCCTCTGAAAGTGTTCTTAGAAGAGCTGGTTCCAAGTTCAGACCCAAGCCTTAGCAGTTAGCTGTACAATCAGCTTCAGCTGGGATTCTGGCCAGCACTACAGCAGTGACTAGTCAGTCCTGTTCGTTAACAAGGAAACAAAACATGGGTGAGCAAGTCAAAAAACAGTGATACATCTTCTTAGTGCAGCCATTTCCAAAGTGAATTTCCACTTTTCAGTGTGGAATTCCTCAAAGCAGGTTGAAAAAATCTGTCCCTGTAGTGTTGCATGATTAGACAGTGGCTGGGATGTTGGAGGATAGAGAGAGCATCTGCAGCTGTGCTTTGTGCACAGCATGGAGTGTGCTGTGCCACAAAGCATCACAAGGAGGGCTGCTCCCTCCCCTTTCCTCCCAGAGCAAGCCCACATCTGCATGACTTCCCATTGCTGGTGAAAAGCAGCAGCTTAGGAGCTCACTAGGCAGGATAATCACAGTGCTCACCTCTCAGATGCCAAGTGAGCCTGTCTGCTGGGAAGCGCTGCCCTTTACAGGCTGGGGAAATAGAAGAGCTGCTCATGGCTGTATAGATCATCCTGGGATAGAGCCTTACTTTCCTATCTGCCTCTTACTGAAGTGAACAGCCAAAGCAGTTGCTGAGTATACAGCAGTGTAGCTGACAGGGGCCCTGGGCAGGGACCCCTGCTGCAATTCTGAATAAATGGTTGTGAATGCATTCACACGCATTGCTGCTATGGAATACTCAGCATCCTCCACAGAGAGGAACAAGACTGGTTCACTCTTGAGTTGTAATGCAGCTTATGCCCCAGTAAATCCCTATTGATGGTGACATGCAGATGCCTCTATGCATTCCTCCTTCCTGCTCTGACTTTTAAGCAAGCTGTCTTCCATAGGAAACCTCCTTGCAGCACAGCTGCCAGGCTCTTGCATTCTTCAGGCTTGAAAATATTTTCCTTGATGTTCATCAAGAGAAGTATTAAAAGAAAGGAAGACATAATGGGGTCATCTGGAACGTTGCTACTGTTTCCTCAAAACATAGCAGTTCTGGTTGAAGAAGCCACATGCTGTCCTATTAAGCTGCTCTTTAATGTTGTCATCTAACTCAGCGTGTCATGGTCTGTACAGCACATTGTTCAGCGTTTCTCTCCAGCTGAGTGCCCTGTTCCTGGATTTCCACGCTGCCATACCCTGGGAGCACGTTGTAAAAATTTGCTGCATTGCAGTATTTTGTCTTGGAGCTTGTAGTGTGGAAGATGTATTTTTCTAAGCTAGGTGGTGGACTCTCTGTAGCATGAGTGTGCATCCACCTTGTGTTGCTAAGTACTGTAACAGTCCTTCTGGACATAAAGGGGACGTGTCCTAATCACTCCAGCATGCACTGGAGTCCAATGGAAGACTCAAAATGTGTTAACACTTCTTATTCCTTATGGTACACTTCTCTTAAAGAGGAGAAATGCAGGCTGAACAGCGGCAAACAAATGGACAAGGTGTGTGTCTGTTTGAAAATTGCCCAGCTGCATTAGAAGCAAATACTGGGTATTTGTAGGTTCTGTTGAGCTCTATGAGAACTGAAGTTGCATAGCTGTTACAAAATCAGGTAAATGTGCAGGTATTGAAGGAAGCACTTGCTCCTTCAGTCTGCCTGCTTTGTCTCCTTCAGTTTGACCTGTAACAATAGCTAACAGACTACTGTTACTTTAAAGCAAATGTGTTTTATTGATTCTACCTTCTGATCTCCATTTCAATCATAAAACACTTCCCCATTTTTCACTTCTGTAAAAAGCATGGAGATGTGGTCTGCAGAGGGTGGGAGGTACAGTGATGTGTGAAACGTAACTGGGCTTAAACTGTCCCAAACCTGTGCCCTTGTAACTTCAGTACCTGGATGTTTCATGAGAGCTGGGGTGGTGCCCCCAGGGGCACTTGACCAGTGTTTGTGTGTTCCCTGGGGCTGACTGCTTCATCAGTTTAATTTGGTTTTTCTTGTAGCCACTGGGTATGATGCTGTTTTGGCTTATTAATCACTTTTACTTAGAGAGATGTAGAAAGCTGTGTATTTTTTTCACCCCTGTGTAGTTTTATGCTTGGAAATTGCAGTGATCCTGTAAGAACTCCATGTGATGTGTACTTGCAAGTGGGTGGAAACAGGGTAAGAAAAAATACTGAGATGTTACACTTGTGTAAATTGATGGAACCAGAAGAAAGTGGCTGAGGAAGAAAGGCACTCCTTGTAGGTTGACTGGCTTAAGAACCCACTTATGTTCTGACTGCTGCAATCCTGTAGAAAGGACAATTCTAAATAAATATCTCCCTGTGGGATTTCACCTGGTGTTCTGCTCTCTGTGTAATGAAGTAGAGCCTGACCTCCATGTTATCAGCAGCACTTCCTCCTGTAGCTAGGATACCTGAGTGTGGGGCTGGGACCTGCTCTGTCAAAACAGAGGATGGGTCTAAATGGCTTTCCTTTCCCTTCAGTACCTATTAATAATTAATTCCAGATCCTCTTGTGTCATTAAGCAGCTTTAGGGCACCTTGTACAATGTAGCTCTGAATTCATTTAGTAAATGATCTCCAAAAGAGCTCAGAGACTTTACTGTACAGTAAGGTCCTCTTCCAGGGTTTTTGGTGACCTATAAATAGCCTTTTCTTCTGTTCTTGCTCAGATGCACAAATAACTTTTTTCAGTATTTTTTTAAGCTTTATTAAAAGAACAGCAAGCAGTGTTTGGAGAGAAGCAAAGTAGGTAGAAATCAGGATGGTCTGTGCAACTTGGCTTCCCTGCTGTGATGCAAATGTATAAAATAAAGATTGAATGACTAGAAAGTTGAATGCATCTTGTTTTCTGCTTCTGAATTGCTAGTAACCAAGATGACCTTTTGATTTCAGAGCCTTTTTTTCCCCATGCCTGACCTTCAATTGCAGCTGTTACCTTGCTGTGGGTACAGGGCCAAATCTCAAAACAGCTGTGTACCTGTAATGGATGGGAGAAGCTTTTTGTTCCTGGGCTGCTGCTCTCCTCAAGCAGAAGGACCTGCATTACCATTACCTTTGTGGAAGAGGGAGCTGTTTGATTTAGGCTAGAATCAGGGTACCTGGGGACTTTTCCAGTGTTCCCTCTATGAGATGTCAGTTCTACATTTTTAGTTCTACAAACTGGCTGTGCTGGCAGGGGTGAGGTCTGCAGTGTTCCTATGAAGTGCTCTTCCTAACAATCCACCACCTGCCTCAAAGCATACGCCCCTCATCGCAGAATGTAGGTCTTCAAAAATGTTTCTTACAGTTTATCCTATAGTTCTCAAGCTACCATGCAGGGGTAATGCCAGAAATAGATGCCAGTATTCTCTGCACTGCAAAGCCCAAACAGGCAGTTCTGCATTGCCTCAAGCCTTTGGGTGGGTGGTGTTTTACCATGGGAGTGAACTGTAAAAAGGACGTGGTTTTTGGACTAAATAGCCTGCTGTAGAGTAAAAGAAACCTTATATGATGGGGATGGCTGATTATTCCACTGGGACAGTCTATTTCATGCAGATAGTTCTTGGATGCTTGCTTTCTCCAAGCTGCACATCTGCTTTATCAGTTTGTTGTATGTTTGGCCATCCAAACTCATCCCTGCTGGTTGTACTGGACCCAACATAGCTCAGCTGTAATGATAGGCGGAATGCTAGTGAAGAGGTGTGTAATGTAGAGCTGTATGGTGGAAAGGCTCACTTGAGCTTGAAACTAAGTGTGGTATATACAAAAAGAATCCTGATTTGGCTGTTCACTCAAAGTGAGCTTTGAGACAGCTCCTGGTAGTTGTGGTCAGTTGCATGCAGGGCCCATCTGGTAGACTTGTACAGGGGCAAAAATTACCAATGCCGGAGCCCCAGTGAAGCTTTCCTGAATATGTTGTGTTTATACCCAGGTTTCTAGGTATTCCTCTGACCAGAGGAGGTAAACGGTTCCACCTGCTTTAAGGATTTTCTGTTAGCATTTGAAATTCTGAGCTGCCTTGATCATTTGCTGCTCCTTGCTGCACTCCAGGCTGCCTGCTGTCAGTGCTCAAGCTCTAGCAAGGTTGTCTTCATGACTGCAAAAAATCTGCCTTCTCTTTAAATCCCATTTTTGCCTTCTTTTGCCTTCTGACTGACAGACTCTAATGAGCAGGACTGTGCTGTAGTGCCCTGTATGGTGAGTGGTCAATAAAAACAAATTGCTTTGAACAGAGAGGTAATAAAGCAGCTTGTGTTTGGCACAGCTGATCCCCGATACTGGGGTCCTCAGGTAGGAGCTGAAGACTTTCATGTGTCTTAAGAAATGCATCATCCATTCCTTCTCTCCATTCCCATCCATGGAACTAAGTGCACTTTGGGTGACACTGCTTTCTTGTAACTGTTCTCCCACGTGGAATATTTCTGCTGGGATGGTCGAAAGTGCATAAGATCACTCCTGTCATCTTATCAAGAAGAGCTGAACAAAATAAACAGGTTTGCAGGGTGGGACTGCTGCAGTGGTGCTAAATGGTGTAGGTCAGGATTGGAATGGAGTGGGTGGCTTAGACCTCACTGCTGCTCTCTCTTGGGATGGTTGTACTGAGCTTGGCCAGAGATTTCCAGCATCCTCAGTGGCAGGAATTGTTTGCAATGGGGGTCTCCTGCACGAAGGATGAATGTAAGGTTTCTGTCCCAGCAGACTGAGCTGCTTCACCATCTGCAATTTTGAGCCATTGTTGTAGGGTGGCACAGCTCAGTGGCAATCTATCACCCTACAAATGCATCCTCTGCTCTTACAGGGGGTGTGGAAGAGCATTTGTCAGTGCCTCAGCATGCCTGAAAATGCCTCTCCCATAGAGCTACGCTGCAAAAGGAATCCTACACCTGGCCCAGCTATTAATGAAGATATTGATCTGCATCTCCTGGAAGAAGCCCAACTTTTGTGTTTAGGGATTCATGTTGTGTTGGGAGGTGTTGGTCAAACTGGTGGGACTGCAATGAATGGCTGTGGTGAGATGAGAGACGCGGGCAGTGACAGAAGATGACAAGAATTAAAGCTCTAAGCCTGTCTAAATGGTGATTAGAGAGCCGAGATGATGTGGCGCAGTACAAAATGGCTGCATGGGGAGAAACTGCAGAAACGAACTGGGAATTCATTAGCGTGGCTCAAGGGCTGTGATGCAGAGAGATGAGATGAAACGAAAGCAGAGGAAAACAAGATGTCAGGAGAAACCTTCTGCCAACGAGACTGGTTTGGCTGCAGACAATCTTCCCCCGAGAAACGGAGGAAGTTCTGTGTTCTTTCAGATAATGAACAGTGGACTGGACAAATCACTGCTAAATGTACTGTAGGGAGCAGTCCCTTATCAGCTGTGAGCTGGACTGAATGCCGGCTCGCTCTCCTTCCATTTGCTTATCTCTGTGTGAAGCATATTGCATGCGTAATTTCTGCTTTAGGGGTTCGTTTTTGTTTGACTGTTAAACCTTGCACATATATTGGGTGAGCGTGGCTGCTGGCTGGGAAGAGCAGGAACGTGCTGCGTTACGACGAAGCTGCTACCTGTGCTCCCTCATCTGTATTCTGGGTAAGTCAGGTTTTTAACTGCTGCTGCACAAACTCAGCAGAAAGACCTGCTGGCGTAAAACCTGCTGGCATTTACCGGTCCCACAGTGCCTGTGCAGTGCCGTGAATCAGAGCGGCGTTAGGGGAGGGCGCAGCACCAACCTCTCAGGGCAGTAAAATGAGAGAAATAGGTGAGAGCGGATTTGATGCGCTTGAGAGATTTTGGAGCCTCTCTGACCCCTGTGATGCTGCCGGTGGGTGCTGCAGGCTCTGCGCTGCACAAAGCTGCTGCAGCTGTGCTCTTGGTTGCCGTTGCACGGAGCCTTTCGCTTTCCATCCCGAACAAACGCGTGCTGCCTGCTCTCAAGCAGCATTTGAAGGCTGGAGGAGGCGGCTGCTGCGCTGCAGGAGGGCCGGTGTTCTCCCAGGTGCCAGCTGTGATTTGCAGCGTTCCACCGAGGATCGCCGCACCGCCTCCTGCTCGGCTTTGTCTCAGCCAGCTGCTCGCTGCACGGGGACACCGAGCCCAGCTGCTGCCTCCTGCAGCCACCCCTCGGTGTTCCCACGTCGGCATCACAATGACAGCGCCGCAGGCTCCAAAGAGAACAGTCTTCAAGAGAAAAAAAAAATAATAATAAACCACTAGAATTGAGCAGAGAAATTACCAGCGTAGCAAACTGTACCGCTCAGCACATGGGCTGCTGTCACTCCTCCAGCCTTTGTAGGGCTGTGCCTATTTCCAGAGCTCGGCCGTGCTTTCCACGTCTGCGTTTCACTTCTTTGGGAGCAGAGCCTGCAGGCTCCGATGCTGCGCCCGTTTACCCCATGACCTGATTTGTTTTATTTCTGCTGTGTTTTGTCTAAAATGAATTTATAACAGCGGTAGCTGGCGTGGGGAGCTGCTGGCCTTCCTGCTGCCGTGCTCGGGGTTATGAAGGCTGATTCCTGAGGGCTGTGGGGTCCCTCGGTGCTGCCCCCAGCCCCATATCTCTGGGCTCAGACCTGGCCGAGGCACTGCTGCACTGAGGGCGTTTTGCACCCGGCAGCCCAGGATAGGATGAGCGCTGTTTGGTGCCGGCTGTGGCTGTTACACCAGGAAATTGAACTCATTCTGCTGGAATTTTTTTCACCCTCCCTCTCAAAGCAGCAGCTGTTTGGGGGTTGGCTGTGCCAGTTCAACCACGGCCACGCTGCTGCCTCTGCTTTCCTTTGGCTTTTCTTCTGCCTGACTCAGGATCGTTAAGCATTAACCTTAAAATAGCCACTCTTTTTGCGGTTGATATCATTAATCTCGTGTGTGTGCGTTCCTCCCCCTTGCTTTCAGCTCTCCCTGCTGCTGCCCTGTTCCTGGGGCACAAGGAAGCTCTCAGCAAAGCCCAAAGAGAACAGAGTGCTCTGTCCCAGCCCTGCACGGCTCTGCCCACCCGCAGCTCCTGCTGTGTTGGTTTTGGGGCTGCGTTCTGCTGCCTCCCAGCAACTGCCACCGGTGCTGTTATTTAAGCAATGGCAAGGTTCAAGCTAATAATTAGAGAAAGTGGATGGCTTGCACAGTTTCCGATTACTTTTCTCCTCTCGGTGAGATCTGAGCTCTCTATTCAGTTCTCTCCGTGGTGGAGGCAGGGGAGAGTTTTAAATAGAATTCAATCCCTTTCGCATCACTTTTGCGGCTGCAGAGCTCGTGCTGAAATGCCCGATCTGTGCGGGGCGGGTTGGGACCGTGGGTTGTTCTGTTGCTCCGGGCCGTGCCACGCTCTGCACGCACTCAGCACAGCCCTGCTGCAACACGG